CGCGCCGATACACGATCCTCCCCCCCCACCCACTCCATCCGCCCCAATCGTCCACCGCGTCTCTCTGGCCCCGCCCCTCTTTTGAACAACATGAGTGGGAGGACCAAGATCACGAGCTCAGACCTCGGCAGGGCACGGCCAAATCTAGCTTCACTATGCATGTACGCACTTCATGCACTTCACCCATACGAAGGTTAAGCAGCGAATCGAACATCGAGCCCAGGGACCAGTTTGACCGAAGAACCCTGATATGGGCGTCCCGCGGCCATTGCCGCGTTTCTGATGAGCTTGTTGTGAGCTTGTTGCGCCCTTGTTGCCGTTCGGCAACAAAGATAAAGGCTCGGACGAACAGAGGCACAGCACAGCCCCGGACAGAACCTCGAGTCTGTCGATGTGCTTAAGCTCGCACACCCTCCCGAACACAGCTTTCTGGGACTCGTCGCAACCGTGATATCCTCGAATGTTTCGGCGCTCGTGACTCTCTGACTTGGCTCTCTTCGACCTAAACCACGCGAGCTCCGGCACTTCATCCTCATGCATGCGTTGCCAGCCATGCGTCTGAAGGCATGCTCTTCCAAAAACGTGCCCATGCTTTCCGCAACCACCAGACAGATGTCTCCAAGCAGGCACTTCGTGAGCGTTTCTCAGGCTTGTCTGCATACTCGCGGCAACACTTCCGCTATCGGTGAGAGGCCTGTCCTCTGGAGTCCTTCAGGAACAGGAGGTGTTAGCCGGAACGGTCGCCCAGGATGCTTACAATGCATGCGGCCGTTGCCATGCAGGTAGCGAGAACGTGATGATTGAAACGCATGCGCGCTGAGTGTGAATGGGTTGGGGATCCTTGGTGGCACGCTGGCGCTGGTGCGGGAAGAAACCGCCAAACTGGAGGGGTGGGTAGTCAACCCAAACCTTGCACTCGAACTTACTTGCAGACCACCCGACAATTCCCAGCCAAAGTTGACAGTGATCTCCCTCCAGCTTTTCTGCTGATGAAGCGCTCACTTGTCCGCCGCGGGACGGGCGTTTCGCGTCACTCGGCCAATGATAACGGTGTCGCGCCGGCATAGTCAGGCACGGTCCCTAGCGTCTGTCCCTTATCGCTGCTTCAGAAGAACCCGAAGTTGTTGATCCGCGACCCGACATCGACTTCCGAACGTCCTGGGATGCTGGGAGCCATCAGTGTTGCGCTGACCTGCGGCTAGCACTCACAACTCGACGAGATGGGGGGTTCGGACTCCTATAAAAGATGGGCAATGCCGTGAGCCTCCGTCGACCATAGGCCTAGCGGAGCCCACCTTACACTCGTTTGAACACCCACACTCCTCCGATATGAAGCTCTCGGCCGCCATCACCGCGCTGGCTGCCTTCGCTGCTACCGCGACTGCCGTGCCCACCTCTATCTCGGCTCGCGGCGGCGACAACGGCGGTGGCACCTGCGAGAACCCCGGCCGCACCGTTTGGATCGTCACTGAGACCAACGACCCGGTCGGCGACTACTATGGCTGGGGTACGGCTGCGCTGCAGGACATCCGTCACCGCCTGACGTCGGAGTCTGAAGCGACTGCCTCGAACAAGGCCGACAGAATTGCCGTCACCAGTCTCGGTGATGTGGACGCGACGCAGTTCTACGAGCTCATGCCGCTCAGCGACCCGGAGAACCCCCAGTTCGACATTGCGATGGAGAACAGGACCAACCTCATCCACAAGGGCTGGAGCATTGAATTCGCCTACGACCACGCTTGGAAGTCAATGAACGACAAGTTCCACGTGCACAAGGGTCTGGGATGCATCATCGCTGTCACCGACTGCATCCTCCGCGACGAGAGCGTGGAGAAATTCCTCCAGCAGATTACCGAGGCGCGCCAGCAAGGCTACCGCACTCACCTCCTTGCGGTCAGGGGCGAGAGGTCGCACCCCGTTCGCTACTCCATGGAGCACCCCGACAACTTCCTTGCTCAGATCGGCCAGGGCTTCAACAACTGGTTCGCGAAGGCGTTCCCGGACAAGGCGGCGGTTTCTCATGATGAGACTACCAAGCGCATCATGGACGCGGTCCGTGCCGCCGGTGGTACCGTCGTGCGCATGGAGTCCGAGCAGAACGCGAAGGACTGGGTTAACGAGCTCTTCAAGAACGGCCTGACGGACCTCGACGGCAAGTGTGTCGACACTGGTGACAACGAGAACACGGACACTGGCGGCGGCGAGCTCGTCCCCGACCAGGTCTCGCACGGTCTCTGCTCCAAGAACGCCGAGGCTGTCTTCACCTACTCGCCTAAGAAGGACGAGCACGTTGAGGTTACCGTCACCCTCACCTCGACCGAGTCGCCTGTCAACATCGAGGCGACCCTCCTCAACACCGTCTCGGGTGAGACCAAGTTCGTCACCATCAACAAGGGCAACATCAAGGGTATCCTTGAGGGATCGGGCAAGCAGGGCGAGAGCGTCAAGGTCACGCTCAAGACTTCCAACGCCGACAGCAACAAGTGCGAGTACTCTGTCAGCCTCAAGACCAGCGCTCCCCAGCCTCCCCCCACCTCGTCGGCTACCGCGTCCTCGGCCTCGGTTCCCCCCCCCACCTCTTCGGCCACCGCCTCATCGGCCTCTCGTCTGCCACTGCTTCCTCCGCCTCGGCTCCCCCTCCTACCTCCTCGGCTACTGCCTCTTCGGCCTCCGCTCCTCCTCCCTCCTCCGCCACCCCCTCGCCCTCGGCGACCCCCTCCGAGTGCCCCGTCCCGGAGGTTCCCACGACCACCATCACCTCCACCGTCGTCGAGACCGTTACTGGCTCAGCCGCGCCTCAGCCCACCAACTCGTACTGCGTGTGCAAGTGCGACGTCAAGGGTGCCAAGCCCTGGCCCAAGTTCGAGCTCTAAGCGGCGCAAAAACCACTATAGTGTCTGTAGAATTGCAGTGCCGCACTGCATGGACTATGTCATATTCTGTCTTTCCATTCTCCGGGTCCGCGGAGGCCGTCGGCCACAGCAATGTCTTGCATGCAGTTGGGTCTTACTTACGTGTGCATGCGGCTCAAGAGTGGTTGCTGAGGAGTAAGCGGGCACAGACCATGTGTTGTGGAACAGTGCCAGGTGAGACAGCTACGCCCGATCGGATCTCGATCAACACTGGTCTCAACGGCGAGCACCGCTGAAGCCTTGACGCCCGAATCTGTAGTACTGAGTTCTGCGTTAACTTGCAATCTTCTTGAGTGCGAGATCTGACGATGCTGGTCTCTGCATCGGTCTTGGTGGCCGAGGATCAGCACCGCCCAGTCTCCGAGATCGATCCATGCCTCCGGGCCCCCAGCAACGACACCGCCGAGATTGATGCACCTCGGGATCGAAACCACCAAACGTGGGTACTTAAGAGCGACTTTTCGACTTCGACTTGACATCAGCAACAGCTCTCTGCTCATTCCCACTCCGAACGTCACAAACCCCGCCAACTCACCAGCTCTCAACTCACCAACAACGAACACAATGAAGTTCTCGCTCATCGCTACCCTCTTCGTCGCTGCCGTCTCTTTCGCAGCCCCTATTGACAACACCGACTCCAAGGCTCTCACTCGCTCTGTCATTGACGGTACCGACGTTGGCGCCTCCATCGTTGTCCGCGACTCCCTCGAGCCTCGCAAGCTGAACCGCGGCACGCCTGCCCTCTCGGCTGCTCTCAACGACATCTACGCTCCTCCCTACTCCGAGGAGCAGTATAGCCTGGAGGGTTTCGTGCAGTACACGCACGGCCGTCTGCGCGACAAGTTCCCGGGTGCCAACATCTTCATCTTCCACCGCTTCAAGCCCGACTCGCGCTTCGAGTGGGGCGTCTCGGACCCCAACGCCGAGGAGGCCGAGGTGCAGAAGGTCGTCGGCTTCGCGACCGAGTACTACCAGGTCGTTGTGTTCCGCTCCGCCGGCGTGCTCCGCAAGAGCGGCGATGGCGGGTTCATCAACTGGATCTTCTCGGGCAAGTTCACCCGCGAGGGCGACAATGTCAACTTCCAGGCGCCCTAGGTGTCCTGGCGACCCTGACGCCGGTCCTCCACAGCCAGCGACCCGCTTTCCACAAGCGAACGAAACGCGCCGATACACGATCCCGTTTGAACGACCTGAACGATCAGAGATAGTAATGTAGATAGAGACCTCGTCCGAATGCAAGTATGTTGTGCAGAGCTGCACTGCCTCGGCTGATGATTTCCTGTAGAGTCGGCGAATTCCGTTATCTGTTATCGGTGGCGCAAACGTCCCTGATGGAGCCGTCGTCCCCTGGCAAACTCACCTCCCAGCGGGCGCACTGCCGAGTCAAAGCCAACCAGGGGCTGATGCAATCAACCTATACGGTCATCTGCTGCCTGCCTGATGTTCGCCGGGGCACAGTTATCCCAACAGGTAGATCGATTGAGTGCCTGTCTACCGCGCTGCTACTGCTTCCGCCTCGACGTGATCTGTAAACCGGTTCACTTTCGAGGCGTCTGCTCGTTTAAAGTTGTGTTCCAGCGCTGTCGGTACTCGAGACTTGATCATGAGGCTATGTGAGGACGGACCCACGCCTCGGAATGAGAATTGAAGCTTACTCCGTGACGCTTGCCTCCAGAGACGTTCCTCTACCGGAGTCGTTATCAGAACCGATATCGCAATTCAAGTGCCGTCGTTTCGGGTCCGACTCCACGCAACGGATGGCACACCTGACCGTCACCTGTTCAGCACAGTCTCGCCGCATCTGCCACTCTGACCATTCACACTGGCGTTGTACCGCACTCTTGCCACAAGCTTCGAGCTTATCTCCTTGTGCACATGTCCGGGGAAATGGCAACCCTTGCAGACACGCGCGCTGCACTGGTCGTCGGATCCGTAGCCTCGAGGAACCGCCCTCGACGACTTCAAGTTTGAGCATAAGCCTCGTCTTCTTGTATCTTGGAGGTCATCGCGCGATCAGATGACATCCATCAGTCCTCGTTACCGTGCTCCTCGTCAGGTCTCACTCCCCAGAACGAAGTCCGCCTGCCACCTCACCCAACACGTACAAGTCGGCAGACCCCTCCACTGACTCCTGGCTCGCTACCGCCAGTGTCTCACGCCAGTTGATGAGAGGATATAAGGTCGCTGTCGAAATCTGATTATACTGTCCATGAGTCTTCTCGGACTTGCTCAAACTCTGATCAACCTTCGTGAGTACCACAGCAAGCAGTTTCACAGCTTACTCCAGAACAATGCGCTTTGTCATCATCTCCGCCGCGCTCATCGCACTCGTTTCAGCCGCACCCGCCCCCACGCCGGCCGGTGACGCAGTGAACGTGGTCATGCTCTATGGCCGCGATTGGGTTAGAGGAGGGCCGACGATTGACTGCAGCCACGCGAGGGCCGTGGCGTGTGCAGAATCGTGTCGCAAGCTCGGGTACGCTTACCACCAGTGTATCATCGGTTCATACGGCGGTTGCTACTGCCGCCCCGGACCGCCCGGCGGTAACGGTGGCGGCTCTGCTGGGACTTGGAAAAGGTCCATCGAGACTGGCGCGGCTCGCGCTGCGTAAGCCGGTGCTGAGGCACGCACAAAGCTGTCACCGACTCGGCAGGAGAAAGGTTGCATCTGGCAGCAGAATCGTCGTAACAGAAAACCACCATAGTAAGCGTTGACACGTCCCTGCTGTGGAATCCACTCCGGCTCTTGTAAAGACACGTTCTGACCATCTGGAAGGTGTGTAGGGGGGCGCGCTGTTTGAACGCTCCAGACTGCCGTAATGGGACCAGAAGTATGGTTCGTCGCGCAGTCATTGTAGGAATGCCAGAAGTGTTCGAGGAACCTCTCCTCATCGCATCTCAGTGTTACCAACCCACAGCTGCAAGCAAGGCGGACCTGTGACGTCAGGTTGGAGTGCGGGTCACGTGAGTGGCCAGGGTCCGAGACAGTGGTCCGGTGGCCAGGCCCGCTGTTGCGCCCATCGCACAGACACTTTCGCCAAGCCCCGAAAGGCGTCCCAGGCACGCCGAGGCACGCCTGACGTCAGTCCGCACCTGTGGACCAGTTGCAGACAAGTCCGTCTCTATTTCCAGACTTCGTAACGGATTGTTGGTTGGACCAGCCTCCCCATTCCCTCTCTCTTACTCCACTCACCGGTCTCCGAGTCCGTCCCTCCTTTGAGCTTCGGCCCGGCCCTCCTGGCCCTGGACCGGCTCCAGCCGCAGCCGCAGCCACCACCGCGCCACCCCCTCACAAGACATCCCGCTCATCCCACCTGAGAAATGCAGCTTGTTGTTGCACTGCACACTGCACAATCACGAACGACACGATGAGCGCCCCGATCGTCGAGCCCGTGCCGGCTCGTCCATCGGCGGAGTTCTCCCTCCTGGACAAGCCCGACTTTGAGCAGGTCGAGACCGTCGACCGGATCCCGCTGTCGAGCACGCGCGTGGACGAGCGCGCGCGCTCGCAGCTGCACTCTTCCTCGCCGATGCGGGAGATTGCAAGCAGCCCCGACGAGGCGAGGCGGCAGACCACACCTAGTGCCCGTGCAGCCGTGCAGAGTCTGGAGGGGCAGCGCGCGACCCCGCCGTCGATGCGGGAGAAGCAGGCCGCGACGGAGCGCGACCTGATGGACGAGGAGGAGCAGGGTACCGTCGTCGAGGGCATCGAGGACGACAACCTCTGGGTCCTTCTGCGCATGTTCAACACGCAGGTCAACCACGTCCTGCACCCTGCGCGTGGGTTGCCGCCAGACCAGCCAGACCTCCGCCAGACTAACCTCCCCAACGTGCCCTACCGCTCCGACACGCTCAAGGCCAACCTCGAGCGGTTCATCAAGGCGATCGCCCCGCCGAGTTCTCGGGGAATCCGTGAGGTCCAGCGCCTCTCCGACTGGCACGGCGAGTTCTACCGCACCCTCACCTACTGTGCGGGCTACTTCATCTCCTGGGGACTGGGATGCACCGTCGTCGCGGCGCTGTGTTTCTTCGCCATCCTTGTTGCCTTCCCCGGCACACGTCGCTTCCTCTTCCCCGACCTGCCCGAGGATGTGCCGCCCCCCGATCCCCCTCGCCAAGGCGACCCCGGCGGCCAAGGACCACAAGCTCACGCGCGCCGAGCAGGCGGAGGAGCACTCGGTCGAGGTCACGGCCGTCATGCTGGGGTACATCGGCAAGCTCCTCCTGGGCGGTGAGGCGCGGGAGGGCAACGCCGTCGTCGGTCCGAAGGACCTGGTTGCCGAGACCGATGAGCCCGACAACATCGTGACGGACGCCTATGGCAAGATTGTGGGCTACCAGACGGAAGAGCACGACGCGAACGCGGAGCGCATGCGCGTCAACGGCGAGATCGTCAAGGTGCGCAGGGACAAGGAGGCGCGCAGCGAGGCGCAGTCTGAGGCCGACGCGCGGCGCGAGGAGCTTACGACGCGCATGGCCAAGGCGACCGAGAATGGGGTCGGTGGCGCCGCCGACTTCATCGAGATCATGCAAAAGGCGCTGTCGCCCGTGCCCGTGTATCCGGACAGCTTTGCGCGGTTCAAGCTCGCCGCGCTCCTCGTCGCCCCCGCCCTGCTGCTGCACTACGTCCCTGCCCAGCTCATTGGACGCTTCGTCACGCTCCTCTTCGGTGTCGTTTTCTGGGGCCACGAGCCGATGATGAAGGGCGCCGAGCAGCTCATGGAGCGCTTCCCGAACTGGATGGACTACCTCGACCCGCGCAACCATCTGCTCAGCGGCGTGCCGACCAACGCGCAGCTGACCCTCCATCTCCTTCGCGCAAGCGAAGCGGAAGGTAATCCCCTCCCCCTCCCGCCGGTTGCGCCGACGCTCGAAGAGGCGAACGAGGCGATCAACGACGAGGAGGACGGAGTAAAGACGAAAGCAGCCAAGGCTGCCGCCTCCGATACCAAGGCTGGTAAGGCGCTATCGAGCGGCAACCCCGACAACAACAAGGGCGTGCGCAAGGCGGCGAAGAAGACAGGCGGCAAGACCAAGTCCCTCTTCAAGCGCGCCGCGCGCAAGCTGGCCGGCATGGGCAGCGACGTGACGGTTGTCGGGGAGGAGAGCGGGGTGCTGAAGAAGAAGATCAACAGCATGGTTCTGAAAGCCAAGTGGGGCGACGAGGTGCCCGAGGGCGGCTTCGTGGCCAAGCACAACGGCACGAGCGGCCATCTCTTCCTCGACGACGAGGAGGGGTGTCTCTCCTGGGTGCCGCTGTTGAGCAAGACGCCAGAGAAGGTGTGGTACATCGACGACCTGGTCGAGATGAAGAAGCAGGGACTGGGCGTGCAGCGCCTCGCGCTCGCTATGATGAGTGGGGCCGAGATCGAGAGTCTCGGCCTCGCGCTCAGGTTTGCCAAGACGGCAGACGACGTTAGCATGAAGGACATGACGGAGGAGGAGCAGCTTGCACATGCCCAGAAGGCGGAGGAGAGCCTCATCTTCCGAGGCGTCGAGGCGAGGGAGCAGCTGTTCAACCGTCTCATCGCGATGGGACACCAGAGGTGGGAGATGCTGTAGTTTTCCGGATGCTACTTGTTTCATCGTTGCTTCATGTTTCACAATATCGCACGTGAAGGGGTCGATCGATGGGGTTCTTGAATTGTCCCACGGCGTGTCAGTGCTGGCAGCTTCTGTCCGAGGCCATGTATGCTGTCGGTGTCGACTGGCGGATGTCCGTCTGCCAGCATCCGCGGTTCCCTCGGTGATGGATGCGATGTCAGCCAATCGGCCTCCACCGAGATGTTTAAGACCGAGATTGTTTCCACACGACGACCACGAGATTTGGGATCTCCCCGCGTATAGCGTAGACGCTTTGTTGCGTCATCGGTTGCTCGGTCCAATCTCGGCACACGACGCATTCCCATAGATCACACTCGAATGAACATCCATCCCTCACATCGCATCCGCTCTTATCTTTAGCTCTTCAACCCCTTGTTGTTGCTGTCCACCTCTCTCTCACCATCAACATTATGCTCGCCCGCACCGCCATCACCCGCTCTCGCCCTGTCGCCCGCACCGTGAGTTAGCCAGAGTTGCGGAACTGACTCCAGGTCGTGCAGCGCCGCTTCAACTCGACCCAGTCTGGCGGCCAGTCCTCTCAGTCCTCGCCCAGGAGCAAGGCCATCAACGAGGAGCGCAAGAACACTGGTGCGTAGCCATCTCCTTGGAGCTTCCCCTCACTATATCCCCCTCACCTACCTCCCACCCTTCAACCTCCGGAGCTAGTGGCAACACACGTGCGCAACTGACACCCAGGCATCATCGTCGGCTCCGTTGCGCTCGGCGCGCTCGGCCTCTTCTACTTCCTGCAGAACCGGGGCAAGAAGGACGCCAAGTGGAACGAGCAGGAGGCGGCCAAGGACAAGCAGAAGCAGCAGCAGCGCCAGCAGAAGGACGTCGACGCCGAGCACAAGGCGACTAAGGTGTGTCCATCCTCAACCGCAGCTAGCTGACATCGAGTAGGAGGGCGTTGTGAGCATGGAGTAGGCGTCATTGTAGGATTCGAATGAAGTCGACAGAAGTTTACCAACATCGTGTCGTCAGCGAGCCGTCAGGGAGGTATGTGAGTGTGTCAGTGGAGGGTGAGGAATGTTGAGGTTGTGACTCACGTGAGCTGTCAGTCCAACGCTTGGTGCGACACCGTCGGACGGGACATGGGACCTCACAAGGCGACTGACTGGATTTGTCCGGAGCGGGATAGGACCGAAGTGAGACGACTGACCAAAACAATAGGGCGCTGACGCCGCCCGCATCGTTGCGCAATACAGCTTGATTTGCAGATTGCTTTGGACGAGCTTTGGAACCCCCCCCCCCCCATCTGAATCATGACAACGCTGCTGATACTGCTGAGGAATTGAGGAACCAAACAAGCGGGACTCCTCTGCCCCGCCAGCGGTGGGTTACTGACCACGCTGATCAACGACGCAGGGCGGCGCACGGACCTATGGGCGCGGCTGACCTTGTTCCTGACAGAACATTGACTGATCTCGCCGGAGATCGTGCATCGTGCATCTGGGCCACCATCGTGGAGACTCGAGCTGAACACCCGCGGGTCTTAGGGCTATGACGGAGTCCTGCGTTTCAGAGGGGCGTGTGAGGTCCGGGAGATCGGAGACGGAAGCGGGCGGATGGGCGGGGAGAGTCAGTTGCTGACAGTCTGCGCACCAGCTGTCGTTGAACACCCCAGAGTACCAGAGTCCTTTCGTTTCCGATCGTAATCACCACGCCCTCGAGACCAGATCAGCATCTGCGCACCGCCTCCCCAACACCACCAGTCCGCTGCATTGGGGCCAACGCTCTATAGACAGTGCTTACTGACCCTCCTTATAAACGCAGGAGTCACCCTCAATCCATTCTCAACAACACATCCTCACCACCTCCCAGAGGTTCCTCCAAATCTTCGGTTTCGAGCCCCGCGGTCGCAGCCCTCCCTTCAATCTATTTTGCTCCCCACCGCAACGCATCAGTCACAATGCCTCTCCTCGAAACTATCTCCGTCGTCGCTGGACTCATCGCCGTCACTGGAACAGTCGGTACCGTCACCGTCTCATTCGTCTGGCTCGACCCTGCACTCGGCCACCCTCTCCCGTCTGGTACCGGGTACGCGGACCGCGACTGGTCGCCTATCAACTACTCTTAGAGAAAGCGTTGAACTGTCAGAAGCGAAGGCGAGTGAGTGAGATCGGTTGCTCATCCCCTCACAGCGCTGACCCGCTGCAGATAGAGTAGAACAAACATAGACATAGACGTAGATGGGTTCGGCTTCGATAAGGGTCTGTAGATATGGTTTCGCCACTCGTATAGATGAGTTAGATGGGCTGCCTTCATAGTAGATGTACAACCAGAGTAGGAACTACCCCAGCAGTCAGCCCACGATGTTGTTCTTCCCGCGGCCGATCGCGGTGTTTCCAACGGAGGCGGGGCTCCACACAGACAGAGGCACGACACGAGGTACGTCCTGCAAATTTCATGTCACGCTACCAGCTTCGTCTTCGTGAAGCATGAGTGACCGCCATTGTTGCCTTGCTCGACCGTGACAGCCAGAAGAGGAGCGCAGCGCGCAGAAGCGATCCGTGCCAGTTCTACAGCCTAGAGTGCCTACGGACCGAGATCGGACGCAGGAACCGAAGCACGTTCGCCCTCCACCGCCGATCGCATCGCCTGTGCCTGCGGCGCGTGCGGCGTCACCATACGCGCCAAGCGGTACCGCATGGTCCGTCCAGTCACCACCGCTCACGTCTCGCCACCCATCATTGTCCATTCGACCTTCCTTTCACAGCATACAACTACCTCTTTCTCTGTCACGATTCACACTCTTTCGCTCACGACTCTCGTTCACGTCTCGCACACGCCCTTTGCACCTCGTCTCGCCTCCTAGCTCTTCTGCAACCGAAACCCAGGTTCTGGTGCGCCTTGGCGCCCTTTGCCAAGCACTGCAGCCAAACTTTCACCGATCGCACACCAACACCTCAGCCAAACCTCTAGCACACCATGATTCTCGAGGTCGCCGCGGCCATGACCGTCTTCACCTTTGGCCCGACTCTGCTCGGCGTCCACTTTGCGCGCGGGATCAAGATCGGCAAGCTCGGAAAGCTAGGCGGGATCAAGAACGGGGCCATGATGGCTGCGCTGTCCCCGCGCTCTGAGCCGGACTCTGCTCGCGACGTGTGTGACTCCCCATGACACCCCACGCCAGGGAAGGTGAGCTAGCGGAGTGCGTTTAGTTAGCTGACAGAGCAGATAGACTAGACAGGTTACAACATTGTACATATCGCATGTATACTAGAGTGGTTCGTAGCTCAGCGGCGCTGAACGGGACCCTGGTTATGGACTGCGGGGGTCTGGCGAGGCTTTGCGCGTTCGTGAGGCTTCGGGGCAGTTTGCGGGTCGTGACTCAAGAGAATGCCGTGCTTGTACTCGAAGTGCTCCTGCACATTACAATCCTCCAGAACGGCCGCACAGTACCCGAGATCGTCTCTGATCTCGCACTTGCTCCCTCTGGCGTGTGCTGCGAAAAAGTGCCCGATGAACGCGGTGGCATTGGAGGTGCTGAAATAGCACCTGTACCAGGGACAGCTGGTCGTGCGTGTCTCCTCGAGCGCCTGCGCGAAGAGCTGGTGCACGGCCGGCAGGATGGTTTCGGGGGGCTTCATGGCGTTGCGGGGCATGTCTCTGTAGCCTTGCTTGAGGCCGAGGTTGAAGGCTGTGGTGAGACTGGCCCACTTCTTCGCGAGGGCGGACTGGTCCTCACTGTTGGGAGGAAGGGGCAGGTGGGAGCGATTGGGCTCGGTATTGGAGGAAGGGGCGCTCGTGGAGGCTGAGCTGGAGGGGCCCGCGGCAGAGTTGTTGGTGTGCTGATTAGTGGAGGAAGGATGGGTGTTGTGATAGCGAGGGTCCTGGTAGATGGCGCGGGGAACGACCGGTTTCAGAGCACCCGGGTTGACCAAGCCTCGAAGGTTAGACTCCCGAGTACGATCTTGGCGTCAGATTCGGACGAGACCATGATATCCTTACCACTGGAAGGAGGCATGGTGCTCACCGCTGAAGCAGAGCAAGCAGTAGTCGTTGGTGAGGATGAAAGAGTGAAGTCAGCGATGGAAGAGGGAAGGCATGACCTCAGAAAGTTGCGAGTTGGGCAAACCGGGATTGACTGTCAGCTGCGGTACAACCACGCTACGGCAGGTGAGTCACCCAACCCTGGCTCACTGCGCCGTGCACATCAACGCTTGGCTGCACGTGCCTCATACGGAAGCGCGATTACTGCTCGTAGTGCTCTCGTATGAGCGACATGCATGCATGCATCTCCGATGCTCATAGATGCTTGCTAGAGTGCTGTCTACTTCTTCGCTTTGGTGGCGATCAGGCCGTGCTTCAGCTCGAGATGTGCGTGCACGCTGTACCCCACGAGCGAAAGGCCGCAGAAGCCCAAGTCGTCCTCGACTTCGCACTTGGTCGCCTTGCCGTGTTCATCAGCCAGGTGCTGGGCATAGACTGCGGCGTCGACGGTACTGGCGTCGCACCCGCGCCAAGGGCAGACCTTGACGTTGGTCTCCTCGAGTGCCTGGCCGAAGATCTTGTGCAGGGAGGGAATCAGGGTGTCCGCACTCTTGATGGTTCCGGCGGGGACGTGGCTCAGACCGACGTTGACAGCTTTGGTGAGGCTAACCCACTTCTTCGCGAGGGCGGACTCGATGCGTCCCGAGGAGGAGATGGGCGGATGGGGGGTACCGCAGTCGCAGCTGGGCTCCGAGTGGGCAATGAGGGCAGTCATCAGAGCGGCATAAGTGGAAGCGGCGGCCGGGAAGTTGGTATTGGCGAGGAACTCAGGGTTGAGCGTCTTTGGCTGGGGCTCTGAGGGTCAGATAACCGCAGGAAGCTTCATCTGTGCTGACAAACCTTTCTTGGGCGGCATGGCGGAAGTGTTGTCCTTGTGAAGCTCGATTGATGATGGCAAAGTTAATCGAAAGCGAGTTGTGAGAGCATCAGAGTGGGAAACGGAGGAAGGCGTCGGGCGTGTGTGCGGAAGGAGCCGTTTAGAGGTGACTGTACTGTGCGCGACCGTGCTGGCGCTGGGTGAGACATGGCCCGTGCGCCCTCCCCCCGCACCCACACAGCACCATGACACCGTAGAATGGCAGCAGACTTTGACATTCTACCCTCGCAGTGTGCTTACCTTCCACTCTCCTCGCTCAACGCATCGCATGTATGCGGAAGCTGCATCGCGTAGGTCATGCACGAAGGCAACAGCGAATTTACCGCAGCTCAGGGCTGTCACATGGACTGGGGGCCGATCGCGATCGCCGTTTCGTTTCATCTACATTTGCTGCCGCTGAACGAGCCTGCCTTGAATGTTGCGACGTCCGAACGTCCGCGTACGTCCGAAACCAGCATTGCTTTTCCATTCATTGCTACACGTCGCCCTCTGCCATGTCCGACTCTCCACTCGACTGCTTGGAGCGACCGACAGCATCTACACCATCTCTCCCCCCATCCTCCCAGCTGGCGAGTCGGGAGGGCCTGCTGGTGCCGGTGTCCCCAATCCCCACAGTCACCATTGATCATCGATACTTTCCTCACATCATCGATCTCATTTGGTCATACATGCCCTACCCCAGTCTTGTCGCATGCGCCAACGCCTGCAAGTTGTGGAGGGCGAGAATGAGAGAGCACTGGGAACACTGTGCCCTGATCGTGTACGAGGACGGCAGCGTAGTCGAACGAAGTCAAAGCCTGGATTATCCTGCGATCTCGGCCATCCTGTCGAGTGCCCAATCAGTCGATGAGAGTACTCTCACGGACGATGTTATCAACTCCTGCACGATCACCGACATCTACATCAATCTACCAACAAACCTGCGATATACGCGTTCCGCCCACGACTGGCCGGCAAACTTCACTCGGGATTTCGTCATTTTCGACGAGTATCCAGACGAGTCCTTCCCTGCTTCTGACACGACTGTTTTCCTCGAATACTTCAGCGGGCACTTCTACGCCCATACCATTCCTGAGATCCTGGCGGCACCCCTCGAGCTTTCTCTCACGGTTCGCTGTCACACCGATCCAACCGCGTACGCACCCTTGATCACAACTGCCCATATGAACGCCGTCATGTCCATATTCCCCGATGGCTCGATCTACGAAGTGGAACATTTCACCATCATCCTCGACGATGTCCGGCGCCCCGGTCATTCGCCTGGTGCCGAGTATTATCGCGGCAGCACTTGCTGCCCAACCACCCAGCACGACTCCAGAGTTGACCGGAGCAGCAACATGGACGCCATTGACCGAGATGACTGGACCGACCTGAGCGAGGATACCGATGTCCCTAAGCTCGGCTCAACCTGTGAACTGTCCCTCTTGGCTCTGCGTATGCCCAAACTGAAGACTCTACGATTTGTCGGCTTCGAGTGCTTCCTCGAACTTGACCCCTACGCCTCCGCTCTCTACAACGCCTTAGATAAGGAAGCAGACGTGACCTGGCGTCAGTGGAACTCTCTTCGCGATTTGACGTTAACCGAGTCCTCAACCCATGAAGAATACAGGGCCAAAGTCGGAGAGACCCGCTACCGTTTACAAATGAGGAAATGAAGAACTTAGCTAGCATCCACAGACTGTCAAAGGTAAAAGATTCGGGGAATCAGTGAGCTGAGGCTCGGGCATAAGTTGGCAGACCACTGTACACGGTACGAACTGATGTCGCCAATGGATATTCGTCGCGAGTAACTAGCACGATGTTAAAGTGCAGCACACCGCCATTCGAGACTATACTTCCTTTGCAGACCCACTACATACGAAGCCGCTTTCGGGGCTCGCGCGGCTCGTTGAATCTCTCGGGGTGTTGATGACCAGATGATGTGTGATCCGCGTGCAGCGTTTGCAACATGCGGTCCACTGACTTTGCTTCCGCCCACACACCGCCGACAGACAGATCGACTGCCTCAACAAGCTCTCCAGTTTCCTGCATTCCATCTTTCTTTCACAACTCGTATCAGCATGTTCAATTCTGTGTCTGCACCAGCTTCCGTCAACAGAACAGGGCTCAACCCTGCTGCGTCCACGTTCAACTGTACATCCAGCACAACAACTCGACAGGTTCAGATCGACCACCTGTACTTCCCTCACATAATCGATCTCATTTGGTCTTACATGGACTACCCAGCCGTCGTCGCTTGCGCAAAGTCCAGTCGTTTGTGGGGAGAAAGGGCCATGGATTATGTCCCCCACGTGGCTCTTATCGAGTTCGAAGACGGCAGCGTCGTCCTTCGAAGCAGGGATCTGGAATGGCCAGAAGCACCGGCTATACTCTTCCGCCCATGCTCTTTCCTCGGAAGCGTCTCCAAAGTCCTCGGTGGTTTTGAAGTCGTAGACATCTTCTTCAACACAGATGATGGCTTCAAGACAGCGTTCAAGTCCAATGAGTGGCCCCTCAACTACTTGCGATACACCACCTACGACGTGTGGCCACCCTTTCATGATTTCCCGACGCCTGATGAAAATGAGCCCGAGGAGGTTCGAAGTGCTACCGTCTTCATGGAGTACCGCAACGGCCACTTCTTCTACGACACTGTGCTGGCAGTAGTGCCCTGCAATATCACGTCTCTGACGTTGACGGTGCACTGTTACTCAAACCCGACTATGTCGAGCCCTCTGGTTACAACCGGCCACGTGAACACACTCATCAGTCTGTTCCCAGGATTGGAGGCTGTCAAAACTTTCACGGTCATTCTTACGGGCTCAGAAGCCAGTGATCCCTCCATCGAGCCTGACGAACAGGGCTGCGGATGCTGCGACATTGATTGCGCGGAGACCGTCTTGACTCTGGCGTCTACCTCTTTGGTCGCCGACTGCGGAGCCCTCTGTGAGCTCGCTCTGCTGGCCATCCTCATGCCCAAGCTCAAAGCACTTTACATCGTCGGAACAGAGCTGTTCAGGGACGTCACAGGGGGATACGGATACCTATACTGGGGTCCATTTGACGCTGCCCTCGACCAGGAGGCATCATTCAATGACCGACCGAGCGTGTCGGCGAAGATCGACCCCATGACGCACAAGGCCTATGAGGAGTATGTGGAGGAGAGGCGATACCGTCTGCAGACTGAGGTCTGAGAGGTTAGAGGTTGTATCTATCCGGCCATGCATGGCTTTGTGCATACCGTGATCGTCATCGCTGTCAGCTTGGATGGAGCGCCGCTTTCTGGCTTGTCCAGTGCCTGAGTCGAGGTCTTCCATCACAGGCGTCACTGCGAATCATGTCTCACTTGCGCCCTCTCCCGTTGTCATGATCAGCCAAACCACCTAACGCCTGACAGTAGTCAGCTGCTGTCACATCCATGCTTTCGCTCTCCGACCGTGCATCGTCCGCGTAGAAGATGGACATATTTCAGCAGAGCCCACTCAGGGCATCGGTCAACTGTGATGGACTGGGGGAGCTGGGGGAGATTTGCGGGAACCAGTCTGTAAATCGTCCGCCCATGATGTGGAAGTGAACGCCCACACTTTGCTTCCGCACAATGTCAGTCGATTTCGTCGAGGGTCACAAACACAAGTCATTACTATCTCTCACCAACATCCTCATCGACATGGCTTTGATATCGGACCAGCCACCATCTGAAGACGGAGACCAGTCGCCTCCCGCAACCACCACGGCCCTGGCCGCGCCCAACCCTGCAACATCCGACCGCGTTCTGTTGGATCACCGTTACTTCCCCCACATCATCGACCTCATGTTAGATATGACGACCCACTCAACGCTTCTTGTTTGTGCAAAGGTCTGTCGAAGCTGGAAGCTGAAGGCGGAATGGCGACTCGCCAAGCACGTATCAGTATTTCGTGCACTGAACTGCTCTACGGGGGAGTACGAATATGTCTTCAAGAGCCGAGACTTCAATGATGCCCATGGCTCGGTCGAACTCTGGCGGAACACACGTAGCGGTGAGCACGACAACTGCCAAATGTCTCTATCCGAGATCTTTCGGTGTGCGACTGCTCTTGATATCTACGAGCTCCCCGTGAATCAATTCGAACTTGACGGTGACGTGGAAATTTGGCCTTTGACTTTCGCCAGAATTTTCAGTGATAGAGAAGAGCAGGCTCCCCTTGACTGGATTGAAGAACGCGAACTTTACATCAAATACAGCAACCCATGCGAGCTGGTCTGCTTTGTCCAAGTACAGGATGGGCACTTCTACGGTTCAGATGTGCCGACCCACTCCGTTCGCGAGCTTACTCTCAACGTCGTCTGCCACTCCAACCCTGCGACCATCCCAGCACCGATGTGTCTAGCACGAGCAATGATGTTCATGGGCTCTGTTCCGAGCTCAACCGATGTCGAGCAGTTCACCATTATTTTACACGATGCTCGGGAGACCCGGGCTATGGAACCGTTCCTCGGCGACTGCGCTTGTTGTCCACTGGAAGAGGAAGAATATTTAGACCATCTGGATGACGATCTGAGCCTCTCCAGGTGCGGGTGCTTGGGCGGCTTGCTGCTTAGTTGCCTAGGTCTGACGGACAAAGTGAAGAGCATCACAGTAGTGGGCGCTGCCTCTTTCGTGCCAGAAGCTGATTGGCCATCCTATCATCAGCAGTTGGGTGATGGCGTCGACGAGGCGATGGAGTACTTCGGGGACGCCCTCCGGTTGAAAGGATTGATGCGCTTTTGCTCCCACGAAGCGTACAAAGCTGAGGTTGGAGAGGACCGCTATCAGAGTCTTACAGTTCAGTGAGCTTTCCATGCATGTTCATTCTCTCACGAGCGGCCAGCGAGCCGTCCATGAACAGTGATCGGCGAATCTAGTTCCGTTTGGTCCCCGCTTGGCATGGAATGCTCATCTTAACATCCTTTCCTTCCTCTACATCCCTCCTCCTCACCACTCACGGTCATGCTGTCTCTTCCGGCTCAGCAGACACCGGACCCAACATCCTCCCGCGCATCCAGCAAGATAACAGCCAAATCTGCGCCACCCAGCCAGATGATGATCGACCATAAGGTGCCGTTTGCGAGCTCATGGAGCTCTCTGTGGGTTCTCACTACGCCGAATCGTTTCATATCATCGGCCTTGAAGCGTTCATTTCTAATCCTGAACACGCTGGGTTTCTGTACGACATCTGCACCGCGGTGGAGCTCGAGACGAACTGTTACTTGCCCTTCCGCGAGGCGGACATGTGTCTGGTGGACTTCACCAGGTCAAGCACCCGGGGCCAGTACAACATGCTGCGTGGTGCTCTTCTCTGCTAAGGGGTTGCAGATAAGCCATAATGCTATACGGCGTTCACGTCAAGGCGGTTTTTTGTGATGAATGCTCTGACCACTATGACTTGGAGAACGGGCAAGAGGGAGTCTCAATGGCACAATCAATTGACCGACCTCGGCGAATTGCGTTTGTTTGGTTCCAAAGGCGCCTTAGGCAATGCGGGTGACATGCATGAGCGTGGCCTCTGTCGGTCTGAAGGGCTGCAACATGATGGTGACGAGGAATGTTGGTGAACTGCATGCTACAAGGAGAAGGGTGTCCAGTGACTGCACTCCGCGCAACCTGTCTGATGGTTGATCGAGCCATTTGATTCCGTGGTACGCAGGTGACGTGTTGTTGTGAAGCGTGAAGCACCTCAATTCTCGTTCTCTCCTTCATGCTCCCCTTCGACACAAGCTCGACACAATACCTAAGCTCAAAGTCTTCAAATCATGTCGAATCAGCCCCCTTTTACGGACACAAGCTCAGCTACGCCGACCTCTCACTCATCCGACCTTCCCCAGGCGCGACCCGCAGTCGTCATCGATCATCGCTTCTTCCCTCACATCATCGACCTTATCATCTCTTTCCTCTCATACCCCGGCCTCATCCACTGCTCCAGCGTCTGCAAAAGCTGGAGAAAGTACGCTCATCGCCATCTCATCCGTCATGTCGCCGTCTTTGAGTATAAGGAGGGGAAAGCGAATGAGCCGGGAGCGGAGCGAGTGCTCGTAAGGAGCCGAAACCTTGATTGGCCCACTGCCTCGACCACACTCATCGACACTTTCAAAGGTGACTTCAGTACTGTGGCACCAGTGCACGGAAGCTCAGTAGTCGATTGCTATTTCAAGTGCTTCAAACACGACCAAGCGGTGGGTTCTCCGTCTCATTGGCCGAGGAGATTCCAGCGACTCCTGGAGTGTGAGCCTTCGGATACGCCACCGGAAACCGGGAGCTACTTGTCGGACAACTTGGACTGGTCAGACATCGTTCATTTTATCGAATATTACGGTGACCGCTTCAGCTTTGTCCGCAACTCCTGCCTGCTCCCCTAAAAACTTGATGACCGTAACGATCAGCTGCTTCTCTGATCCTACAACTGCTCCAACATTACCGAAGCCCACTCCATGGAGTGATTGCGAGCCGTTTTTGGGGGAAATCCACGACGCAGCCAAAATTACCATTATACTGAAGAACTGTCTCAAACAGGGCCTCCCCAAGGACGCTCACACCCCATGTCATCATGGGCATCTGCAAGGGGATGAGGCCAACCCCATCCGTGAGCTGGGAGCTCTGTGCGAGCTTCTGTTCAAGATCGCCAGTCAAGATGTTACGGAGACGCTCAACGTCATAGGCCTCGAAGAAATTGTGACAGAGACAAGGCTGAAGCTCTACATGGAGGACGTCTGTGAAGCCATTGCGGGGGAGCTAGGCATCTTGCGCCATCCGCATGACTGCAATGGTTTCCCGTCCGTCGGTGCGTTTCTCGTCTTCTTCACCCATGAGCAGTGCCGTACCGAGCAGGGAGAGAAGCGCTACCGTCAGTTGACAGTTCAATGAGGAGTTTGCCTAGCATATGTAGTAGCACGTCGTATCGCATTATGCGCGCGCTTATAGTACTGCTTTGATCACCCACCCCGCCGACCGTTGCTGGTTCGAAGTTGATTCGGCAATCTGCCTGCTTTCGGCGAATTCTGTCCCTGCAACATTGTTTGGTTCCTTGGCATATTCACCGACCCACGTTTGTTCAGGTCATGCAGCACGAGTGGTTTGCGAAAGTATGCAGGAAGAGATGCATCGTTCTCAGCGTTCACTTCTGTTCCTGGACCTATGTTCTCTGCAGTGTGCGTGTTGCGAGGGCGCAACTGATCGTCGCGTTTGATTCCGTGCCATAACCTTCGACGTGGACAGTCGCTTTGGGCCTCGCATACGGCATCATCCTGCCTCTGTCCAACCTCGCCCATTGCTTCGTTGCGTCATGAAGAGAAAACGGCTTAGCAGTAGCCCCCTGGCGGGACTCGACAGCAGTCCTCCGGTCCGCGTTACCATCGATCACTGCTCCTTTCCTCACATCATCGACGTCATCTTCGCTTCTCTGTCGTACCCCGGCCTGATCAGGTGCGCACAGGTTTGCAAAGAATGGAGAGAAAAGGCGCGGCCTTTGCTTTTCAAGCACGTTGCCATATACGAGGACACCAGCCGCAACTCCACCGTTATCCGAAGCCGAGACGTTGCATGGTCCAACGAGTCCATCATCCTGGCCACTGCTCCCTCCACGAAGACAAACGCTCTTTCCCTGGTTGCCAAGTCCAAGATCGTCGACAGTCATTACAAGGGGTTCGAAAACGGCACGTTTCTGAGGTTCGTTCCCGGCTGGCCAGCGGCTTTCCACCGTCTCCTGAACTCCGACAGCACAGAGGACAACTCTCACTTGCGACGCAGATCGGACAGCTTGAGCGGTGGGCTGGGATGGACGGATGTCGTGCACTTCGTCGACTACTCGGATGGAAACTTCATCTTTGCCACCGACAGCGCCCGCAGCCCGACTACCCTCACTCTGAGTGTCAACTGCTACAGCAACCCGACCAGCCCTTCGCATGCCATCACCTCTGCGTACCCTTTCGCCTTCGATGAGCTCCGCTTCGACTCATCCAATGTCACCACCTACGCCATTCTTCTCAACGACTGCATGGACCAGGAACATTCCTCTGTTGGGGAAGTTTCGGGCGCCGGTATGTCCTTCGCCGCAGCGCAAGGGGAGATCAGCATTGTGGAGTGTCAAAACCCAAGGCTGGGAGCTGTGTGTGAGCTGCTATCTGCGATTGTGGACTGTGCTAGCATCGAGAGCATTGCCGTGGTTGGTTTGGATGCCTTCGTTGACGCTGAGAGTCTCGTTGCGCATGTGCGGGGAGTCTGCAAGAGCGTGAGGCCATTCAGCGGTGACCCTGGTGCTGAAGACGGCGTTCTGTGTCTTGATAGGTTTCTAAGGTTCTACAGTCACGACCAATATTGCGGGCTGATTGGAGAGGAGCGCTACCGTCTTCTGACGGTTCGATAAGGGCGGGCTGAAGACTGTCAAGTTGGAGTTCGATAGACTGTGTGGCCGTCTGGACGGAAAGGGTCGTTGCGGGGGTCACGCCTGACCTCGGCGAATCCTAGTGATGTATCTTTGTTTGGTTCCCGGTCATCCACCGATCGATCGTGAGAGGGTCCAAGAGAATGCAACAGCTATACATTGGATGCTTATCAGAGAGGAGCATGTCCTCGCGATCATCTCTTTGAAATACCGCGCGACGCATCTGCCATGCGCGGTCATGAGCAAGGGCGTATCGACTCGCCGGTTTTGATTCCGCTTCTTGACCGTGGAGAGTTGCGTTCAACCCCATTGGACTTATGGACTTGGATGCTCCATATCAACCTTCGTCCATCCTCGATCATGGCAGAACAGTCATTGCCATCTCAGCTCTCCTCCAAGGCCCCCATCGATAGTGGCCGCTACGAAGCAAGCTCTTTGCTGGATCATCGGTACTTCCCTCACATCATCGACCTCATCTTCGCATCCATGCCGTATCCGGGTCTTGTCAACTGCGCAAGTGTCTGCAAGGCGTGGCGCGAGAAGGCAGAGCCTTATCTACTCAGTCACGTCGCCATCTTCGAAAACGAAGACAATGATGTCGTGATCCGCAGCCGTGATATGGGGTGGCCGGACAAGTCGTCACTTGTGATCGCGGATTCTTTCATGTATATTGGCGTCCTGCGCAGAGTTCGCCGTGCCTCGATAGTGGACAGCTTCTACATGAACTTCGAGAGTTGGCAGGCATTGGGGCCGACCCTTTGCTGGCCGACGACGTTTCACCGGCTGCTCAATCCAGACAATGCGGCAGGAAATCGTCAGCGACTCCACAGGACTGAGGACATCAGTGGCCAGCTCGGCTGGAGAGATGTGGCTCACTTCATCGATTTCTCTGGCGAAACCTTCGTTTTCGCTTCCAACTGCGCATTCTACCCAACGACCCTCACTCTGAGCATCGACTGCTACAGCAATCCAACCCTGCCCGAGAAGTGGATATTCACATATCCCGAGGCTGGGCTCTACGACCTTGTCTCAGACTCCGAGGTCGTGGAAAACTACACATTGATTTTCAAAAACTGCCTCAATCACAAATGTCCCGAGGGCTGGTTCGCGAGCAGCTATACACCCGTGGCAGCCCCCAACGCCGACAGGCAAAGGCAAAGTTGCCAAAACAGCAAGCTCGGGGCTGTCTGTGAGCTTCTACGTCTTATCTCAACGCGTGTTCATATCAATACCATCTCTGTTGTCGGTTTGGAGGAGTTCCTGTCTTACGAGAACTTCGTGCCGTTCCTGCATGAGGTCTGCTGGGATATCGGATGGGAGACAGGGGGAGGAATCGGTGTTACAGTCGAGAACGGCGTGCCGTGTCTTGGGGAGTATCTCAAATTCTACAGCCACCATGACTACGAGAGTATGGTTGGAGAAGAGCGCTACCGCCTTTTAACGGTGCGTTGAGTGGGCGTATGATCGTATGAGTTTACAAGTTAGTCCAGTATGCAATTTCGTTTAGGGACTGCTCGTCGGCGACTTGATTCCAGCCTCGGTCAATTGTGACCCTGCATCTTGTTTGGTTCCTGGCTCCCTCCCATGGCCTGCTCTCGTGCAGCTACTGCAAAGCCGTGGTTTCAGGCGGCACTGAAGGAGGTTGAGCCAGTTCAACTCTCGTGAGAGGTGTGTTTGGGAAGGGCGCAATAGATCAGGTCTTTGATCCCGCGACCACTTCTCTATGATCCTACGTGGAGAAAGCGGTGCGCAGCTCACAGTCCATCATCCACACTTTCCCTCCTTATCACCATTACTCGATACACCATGGCAAGGGAACGGGCCGGCGACAAACCTGCTCAAGACACAAAGTTAATCGACGAACGCAAACCCCTTGTCACGATTGATTACCGCTGCTTTCCGCACATCATCGACCTCATTCTCTCATCACTGTCATATGTCGGCCTCATCGTCTGCTCGGCAGTCTGCAAAGACTGGAGAAGCCAGCTGAGACGCCGTCTCTTCAAGCACGTTGCTGTCTTTGATTCGATTCTAGACGATGAAACCACCGTGGTGAGAAGCAGAAGCTTGGATTGTCCAAAGACATCGGCCGTTCTGGCCATAAACGATGCCTCCAACGTCGACGACTTCCGCAACGTCTTCCGATCCACCACGGTCGATTACTATAGAAGCTACGAGGCCTACAACACCTGGAAGATATTTGGTCCTACGTCCTGCTGGCCTCAATTCTTCTGCCGCCTTCTCATTCCTGATACCTCCAGAGGCCCCAACAATTTTACAGCCGTCTTCCGGACCAGTATGAGGGTGTTCGAGAGCAGGCACCTCAATTGAACACAAGTTGTTCATTTCATTGACTACTCGGGACGACACTTCACCTCAGCGTCCGAACTATGCTTGTCGTCACCCTCTGTCTCTATTCTAAGCATTGCCTGCTACACCAACCCGACCGCCGTCGAGGACCTTATCTCGTTCTCAGCGTTATCTGAGGGGTTCAACCTCCTCAATGACCTAAGCGAGGTCAGAACCTGCACCCTCGTACTCAAGGACTGTCTCACCCAGAAGCCATCGTACATCCGCAACACAGTGGATCGTTCACCTGTCGTCTTTCCTTGGGAGCTCGGCTATCATCGTTATGATCCACGAGCCCCCCCTCCCGGGGCTGTGAGTGAGTTGCCCATCCTCATGCTGGAACACACTCCCGTCCAACGAATGACTATCGTTGGTTTGGAAGCCTTTGTGCCAGTTCAACATCTCGCCTCCTATCTCCGCGACATCTGTTACCAAATGATGGCAGCAACAGGTACGGCCATTGCCCATGGGGACGGCGTGCCGCATATCAAAGGGCTGCTCGAGTTCTACACCCATGCTCAGTACCGTGACATGGTTGGGAAGGAGCGCTACCGTCTCAAGACCGTGGGCTAAGACGTTCTGAGCCCAGCTGTATCTCTGAAACAATCCGTAGGAGAACTGAGGGAACATGCAACAGTGTCTATAGCCAGCAGCGAGACGAACAATGGTGCAGAGATGGGAAAGTGCGATGACTCACCAGACACCCAGTGGAGTAATAGAAAGCTGAAACCCTGCAGGAACTGCTGAGCAGTTGTTTGCTCTACGTCTGCCGATGGAGCGGCGGTCCAACGTGCCCGTCAGTGCTGCCAAACAAAACCTTATTAATCCAGCCGCCGATTATCGGCAGCAGCTTCATCTCACTCAGGAACATCTCGACGGCGCGGTGCCGAGCGACCCGGGCGATGCGTCGACCTCCACCAAGCACCGACGGCGCTCGGCGGTGTGTCGGAGCGGACACGGAGTCATCAGTGATCGGTGCACCGCCGCCAATTCACACTCGGCAGAGTCGGCAAACCATCTTATTCCTCATGCATCACTACCTCCGTCGGAGCACACGTTCTTATCATGAGCTACGTCAATCGTCTCTCGCACTACTAAACCTTCACCTTTGCAACACTCTCATCTCCGCGACTTTCACGCTACAAGCACAAGATATCGACTCCGGCATGAAGAAGTCTCTCGCCCTCCTCGCGGCTCTCGCACTAGTCCCGCCCGCCCACGCAGACTGGACCGTGACCCTCTCGCCAACGAAAGACCAAACCCGCTGCGCGACCTCGACCGGCGTCGGCCAACCAGTCCTCATCCTGCCATGCGACGGCTCCGACGCCCAAAAGTGGATCACGGGCGAAGGCTGCGGCACGACCTTCTGGCAGTCCCAGACCGGACAGGATGTGGTCCTGCAAGCGGGCTATGACTGGAACACCCGGCGGTGGTCTCCCCGGTCCGGAACGCCATTCATTCTGAACTCGACATGGACCCGCCCGGGCGCTGGCATGGTGTTTGTGCGTGATGGAGAGACGGGGCAGATTGAGGACCTGTACGCGGACCAGTTTGTGGGGTATCACCAGTGCTTGGACTGGAGGGATGGAGCGGGCGAGACGCTCCAGTTGTGGGAGTGCATCGGTCGGGTGGACGGCCCCGTTGGGGAGAACCAGAGATGGACGGTGAGGTATGCGTGAGACGGGGAGCACCGCTTGCTAGTCAAGCTCGACGTCATACAGTGCAGGACAAGGAGAGATGGACTCTGAATATGAAGCTTTGCCGTATGCGATGCATGCCTTGAGTGACTCACCACGTCAGAGTGGACATTGAAACCGGGGTCCTCCGACGGATATCGAGCCGATACCACTGGTCGATCAGCTGATTACGGCCGCAAACCTTGTCATTATGCTTCTTTCCATGCGTTCCATCAACAGATTAATGAAGATGTGAGGGTTGCGGGCATGTGTGCCCGCCAAATGCTGTCACGACCTGACCAGATGCACCTGATTTCGACGTCATCACTGTTCGGCGGCGGAGCACAGCGGAGGATCGGCGCGGGCTAGGCCGTCGATCACTGCACAGCCGTCAATTCATCCACCCACTCCGTCGCTCCATCTCCGGGTTCGGTCGTAACGACGCAGAGTAGTTCTCACCACTAACCATCCTCTTATGAACGTTGCACCTCCTTCCTGCTCATCCCTCTGAACGTCTCCACAAGCATCGAACATGCTCGGCCTCAGTCTCACCCTATTAGTCCTCGCGTCCCAAGCCCTGGCAGACTGGACAGTCACGATCTCGCCCAAGTCCGACCCCAGCAGGTGCTTCACGTCCACCGGCGTCGGGAATCCAGTCAAGATCCTCCCCTGCGATTCCTCCGAGAGTCAGAAATGGACAACGTGGGAGGGTTGCGGCAGTCTCATCTGGCAGTCTTCCACCGGGAAGGACATAATCCTTCAAGCTGGGTACAGTGAGTCGACTCGTGCCTCCTCTTACTGTCCCAACCACCACAGCTACACTGAGTGAAGGGCTAACGCCAGACTGGCCCGAACGCGCCTGGCAGCCGAAAGCGGGTTCCGTCGTGATTCTCAACTCGACCTGGACCAGACCCGATACGGGTATGACCTTCCTCCGCAAGGAGGGGCATATTGAGAATGCATTTGCGGACCAATTTGTCGGGTACAACCAGTGTCTGGACTGGAAGGATGGAGCTGGGGAGGTGTTGCAGTTGTGGAATTGCGTAGAGGGTAACTCGAACCAACAATTCGACGTTCGTTATGCCTAGAATTCTTGGAGAGCGAGGGAGGAAGAGATAGCGAGGGAAAGCTGAGACGGAACCAGGGGGAAAGACTGTTCCTCGACACGGACACTGCACATGGACAGTAGGAGGATAATGCAAGAGCCAAAAGATGCATGGCAGTACCCAAAGACAGAGACTAGATACAGGCTTGGAATATGAAAGTGAGGGGTATGGGTAGTGTCCGATGGTAGATAAGGTTTTCAACATTGCTGATCTAGGAGGGGTTGCTTAGGTCGCAATCGCTTAGAAGAGAGCGTACAACGCCGCGCCGGCGAGCACGCCAACGACGCTGGGCAGCATCGAGCCAGCGCCGTTCTTCGCGCCGTCCTTGCCGTCCTTGCCCGCCGTGCCGTTACCACCGGCAGTCTCATTCTTGACCGCCTTGCTCATGTCAGGCTTGGCAATGTCGAGCTTGACGTTCTTGACGAATTCGGGCGGGCCCACGGCGGGCATGTAGTTTGCCGGCGCGGTGTCGTTCTCCTTGCCGTCCCAGCAGAAGGTGGAGAAGCACTGCTTGCACTCCTCAGTGCGCTTGTCGGCGCCATTGGCGCGGTCTACGAGCGCACAAGCCAGACATGTCGGCCACGCATCGACCGTGCCGTTCAGCGACATGCTCATGAGCGTGCTCTGCATCTGCGGCTTGAGCTCGGCGTCGGTGTAGGAGAACTTGAAGGTGGACGAGTTGGTGGGCGCAACCCATGGGTAGTGCGGGACGTAGACAACCAGGGGCGTGTCCTCGTCACAGCCGAAGAAGACCGGGCGAGTGTTCAGGCCCTCGTTGACGAATGTCGCTGATGAGGGGATCGTGGGGAATGTGCCGTTCGGCGCATCCTTGTACGTGTTGTAGATGGCCGAGCCGTCAGGGTATCCGTTCCTGTCACCCGAGGCGTCAAGGGCGATAATGGCGTCAACGGCGCGGTCCTTGGCGAGCAGCGGGTCGAAGGGAAGGTTCTGCTGGTTCTCGCCTCCGTCGACGAGCGTGAGGACTCCGCCGTCCACCTCGGGGTCGAACGCGTTCGGCAGAGACGCAACGTTGACCGTGTCGTTGTCGAAGAGCGAGAGCTGCTCGGGCGTACCCTGGAAAAGGGTCGCGGCGTTGAACGGAAGAGCGTTGAACAGCGTTCCGCTGACACCAATGATGAACGAAACCTGGTCGTAGCCCTTGTAGCACGTGCCGTTGTTCTTGCCGTCGTCGACGGGGGAGCCGAGGTACTCGATCGGAGTGAAGGAGCTGTCCCACGAGCCAAACTCGAAGGGGTTGAACTCCCACACGGTGCTGTTCTTCTGCGCCGGGGCCTTCGGGTCCGGCAGGCCGACGGCGATGATGATCGGAAGCGGGAGCGAGTAGTTGGCATATCCCGGAACCTCCTGCATCAGCGCCGAGAGCGTGATGTTCGGCTTGGTGTCGAGACGCCACTTGTCCGGGAGAGTGTGCTCCCCGAGGGCGAGACCATACACATCAGTCAGCTGAACGGGGAAGCCCTCGTTGTGCTTGGCCGCCGTCTCGGAGAAGAGCTTGTCGTAGTACTCCGTGTTATTGGACTCGGGGGCGATGAACGACTTCTCGAGGTTCCACACATCGGCAGCGAGCTTGCTGGGCAGCTCACCGCCATTGGACGCAAAAGTGCCGACAGCCCACGAACCACCGGACAGACCGACAATGTAGCTCGTCGCATCGAGCCAACCGCTGATGTCCGTGTTCGAGCCATCGAAGAGCGCCTCGGCAGACCCAAGCGTGTTCCTGGGGTCAGCGTCAGTCAGCAGGTTCTATTGTCGGCACACACGGCGTGCGGCGCTCAGGGCAACGGGGGATCCATGGGCAATACTGCGCGCGCTGCGGCGTTCAAAGAGACTTACACCATGGCGCGGTAACCACCTCCAGACAGAGCGAGACCAATGACGGGTCGGCGCGCGGGGGCGGTCATGTTGACCGTTGCAAGCATGCGCTTAACGGCGTCGTCGATGAGAGGGCCGCGGCCCTCGAGGTACTTCTTCTCGCCCTCCGAGATGCCGGTCGCATTACGAATCCAGGTCACTTCGGCAGGGCAGTCAACCTTGTACGGGGCGTACTGGTTGTGGTCGGCAAGGAGGGAGATCGGACCGGCAAGCAGTTGCTCCTTGGCGATCATGAGCTGCGAGTTGCGGAACTCGAGCTCTTCGGGCGACCAGGCGCGAGTGGCCCCGGTGCCCGCGAGGAGGGGGAGGAGGGCGAGCAGGCTGGCGAGCATGGTCCTGCGTTACAGTCGATTATAGGAGAAAGAAAAGGGGGGTCGCGTCAAGAGGATGGTAAAGAGCGTGGGGGTGAAGAGAAATGAAGAGAGCGAGGCCGTGGAAGGTGTGGCCGAAGGATGAAGAAGACGTGTGCCGAGTGTTGATGAGAAAGCAAAAGATGAGGGCGTCGTTAGTCGTAAATGTCGTCGTCGACCTCTGCAGCGTAACGGGGTCGCGGCTGACGGGAAGCAGACAGGAAGCAAGTCACGTAGCTCGAAACGAAGGCGGTGGTGGGCTTGGGTCAGGAGATCAGATTGGACTGACTTGGCTTTGATGGCCGCATGTTGGTGCAGGTGCGTGCAGTGGGTCTCCCCATTCAGTGCAGTGCCAGTGGTTCTTGTTGGACGCCATGGCGCGATAGTCCTGGACGGCTGATCCTGAAATATTCCCAGGAATCTCCACATCCGGATACTCGACAGTGCGGTGTAGTCCGGGGTAAGGCCAGAGGCAAAGGGTAAAAGGGATAGCCGGCTGTATCACGTGAGTATCATTCACGTGTGTGCTGGCTGAGCAGACGACTTTTTTAGCCATGCATGGTGGTGCCAAGAGACGGAGGGCTGGAAGATGAAAAATGAACCTAAAAAGCGGGGACTCGCGTCAGCAAGCGCAGTTATTCGCCACTCGGCCCGGGTGATCAGGGACAACAGTAGTGCGGGCAGGACCTGGTTCCGGTGAAGGGGAGGGGCTCATGGATCATGGAAGTGTCGTGTGTCGGACACTAGACCGAGTATCATTGACTTCATGGCTTGGCTACTGTGGAGAGCGACCTCGCAGCTGACCGACGAATGCTTTCCATGCACCGTTCAGGACCATCAACGCTGCTATCCCTCTGTTACACACTATCACTAGCCCCGTGCTAACCATCCGCCGGCCCCCGCAGCCTCCCCCGTGGAGTCTCCCTCTCTCGCTTCCAGACCATCCGAATACCGACGCCCTACACATCGTTGTGTGTGAGTGAGTGTGTGTGGATTCCAGACCGACCGGACTGCTGCGCGCAAAGAGAAGAACGCGTCCTAACCCGGCATTCCTCCGCATCGATATCGGTCTCACACGGTAAACGTTGACCGTCTCTCGCTCTTGTCCATTCCTCCCTTTCAACTACTCATATACTACGCCACCGCATGCACTCCCCTTGCTCCCACAAGCCATTGCATCCCTCCCTACACCTCGCACCGACCTGCATCTGCCGACTCTCCGTGCACTATGGGCGACGGATCGTCCCTTCCCCAAGCTGCTGCGGGGCCCACAAAGGCAGCCGCCTGCCCCGCCCTGGCCCCGACTACCTCGACACCATCGGCGACTACCTCTGTCACTGACCACGACAACAGCAAAGAGAAGGAATCGAAGGCGAAATGTCCCATCACCGGACAAGAAATCTGCCCAAACGTCAAACTCACACGCGGCAAGGACGGATACCACAATGTACCGCACCCTCCCTTCTGGCCCGTCCTGGGGTCCATTCCAAGCATCGACGTGAAGCAGACGATCAAGTCGATAACCGAATTGGCCGATACGTACGGACGCTTCTACATGATGTCCGGGGCAGGTCACGACTTCTACATCTGCGGCTCGTACGAGATCTCAAAGGTTCTTAACGATGAGTCCCGGTTCCAGAAGACGGTGCACTTGCCGCTAGAGCACCTGCGCCCCCTCGTCGGCGACGCACTCTTCACCGCCTACCCCGGCGAACCGAACTGGGACATTGCGCACCGTGTTCTGGTGCCTGTCTTTGGCCCGCTGAGTCTGAAGAAGATGCAGCCCATGATGGTCGACGTTCTCGCCCAAATGCTGATGCACTGGGAGCACACGGCCGGCACACCCTTCAGCGCCGCGGACCAGTTCACTCGCCTGACGCTGGACACGATTGCACTGTGTGGCTTCCGATTCCGCTTCAACTCCTTCCACTCGGAGAGGCTGCACCCTTTCGTCGATTCGATGGTCGCGTGCCTCTTAATGTCGGATGAGCGGTCACGCTGGCCCGCCCCGCTTCTTAAGCTTCGCTGGAACCATAACCGCAAGTACAACGCAAACGTCAAGTACATGTTTGACCTGTGCGACAAGCTCATCGCGGAGCGGAGGAAGAATCCCTACCCCGACGCAGGCGACATGCTCAACGTCATGCTGCACGATAAAGACCCGAAGACGGGCAAGCATCTCAGCGACGAAAACATTAGGATGCAGATCATCACGTTCCTGATCGCGGGACACGAGACGACTTCGGGCATGCTGAGCTTCACCATGTTCTTCCTCCTGAAGAACCTGCGCGTTCTTGCCAAGGCACGCGAGGAGGCCGACCGCCTGGTGGCCGAAGCAGGAGACAACATGCTGAACATCAATCCGTCCAAAGCTACCTACATCGACTGGGTCTTGAAGGAGTCGCTGCGTCTGCAGCCAACCGCTCCAGCGTACGCAGTTGAGCCGTTCAAGCAAGACGAGCCTCTGCCTGGCGACTTCTGCCTGCGCAAGGGCGACCACTGCTTCGTCTTCCTGCCGTTGCTTCACCGTGACCCAGCGGTGTGGGAGAAGCCTGAGGAGTTCTACCCCGAGCGCTGGGAACACCTGTCCGATCTCGATCCCGCAGCCTACCGGCCGTTCGGCAATGGTGCCCGCGCGTGTATAGGCCGCGGCTTCGCAATCATGGAGGGCATCATCTGCCTGATTATGATTCTGCACCGCTTCGACCTGAAACTGGAAGACCCGAACTATGAGCTCGTCATCAAGGAGACGTTAACCATCAAACCGGACAACATGCGCATTATCGCTACCCCAAGGCATTCCCGCTCCCAGTCGCTGCTGACTGAGCTGGCGCAGGGTTCGACCCTGGCTGCAGGTGCGCCTAAGGCGGGCGAGAAGAAGCGCCGCGCGATGAAGACGGACAATGCCTCGGGTGTGCCCATCAACATCCTCTACGGCTCGAACGCGGGCACCTGTGCAACGCTTGCGAACGAGATGGCGGAGGAAGCTTCCGCTCGTGGGCTCAAGCCCTTCGTTGGAGAGTTGGACGACACATGCGGAGATGGCATGCTGCCCTCTGACGGCGCGACGGTAGTCATCGTTCCCAGCTATGAGGGCATGCCGCCAGACAACGCCAGGTCGTTCGTCACGGCGCTCGAGACAGCAGGACCCATGCCAAACGCGAGCTTCATGGTCCTCGGTCTCGGCCATCCGGACTGGACGACGACCTTCCACCGCATTCCCAAGCTAGTCGACAAGCGTCTCGAAGAGCTCGGAGCGCAGCGCCTCATGCCCATCACGCTGGCGGATGCGTCTCAGGACGTGATGGGTGAATTCGAAGCTTTCTCTGCGTTGGTGTGGGAACAGCTCGGCGTCGCCGACGTCGAAGGGCAGACTGCCGCCGTGCTCGAAGATGTCACGGTTCTCCCTGCCTCTGCTAATTCGAACCATGCGGATGGTTTCGGGTTCGGCTCTGTCGTAGAGCAGCGCACCATCTTTCCCGCCACGGACTCCCATCCCTGGACCGTGCACACGGTCGTGAAGCTGCCCGAAGGACACGAGTACCAGGTGGGAGACTACCTGTGTGTGCTTCCCAAGAATCCCCCCGCCACTGTTGAGCGAGCCCTACGCGTCTCGGGGCTGCACCCCGACGACGTGCTGAAGTGGGGCAGCCTGACGGTGCGTGCCGCGGATCTGTTCACATCCTACGTCGAACTCGGACACACGGCTCCACGCACACTGCTGAAGGGGATGGACTACGAATCGGCTCGCGCGAGGCACTACACAGTCCTGGACCTGATGGAAGACACCCAGCTGCCGTTGGACGCGATGCTCGCAGCCCTGCCGCGGATGAAGGCGAGGCACTACTCGATCTCCTCGCCTCCGTCACCCGAGAACACGGCCACCATTACGTACACCGTGCACACGGCGAAGGGGCCCAGCGGCGAGGTTCTGGGCGTGTGCAGCAACTACCTCGCGCGCCTTCAGCCGGGAGAGAGACTGCAGTGCGCCACCAAGTCGAGCCCGGGATTCCACCTCCCTCCTCCGCAAGTGCCTATCGCCATGTTTGCCGCTGGAAGTGGAATTGCTCCCTTCATGGGCTTCATCGCGCAGCGCGCTCGTACAGGTGGCAGGATGACATTATGGTTCGGCTGCCGCTCCGCCGCGGACTTGCCATACGCCGCCGAGCTCCTCCAGTACGCCCAGAACGGTCTCGACCTGCGTCTGTGCCTCAGCCGCTCCGACGACACCTCTTTCGAAGGTCTGCCCGTTTTCCACGGGTATGTCCAGGATCGCGTCCGAGCCGAGAAGGAAGACTTCCTCGCTATGGTCGATACCGGGGCGCAGTTCTTCGTATGTGGAAGCTCGAACAGGCTGGGAAGTGGACTGAAAAAGGCACTGATTGAGGTGCTTGGCGAAAGAAGTGGGAACGGGGAGAAGGACATGGAGGCGCTTAGTAGGGGGAGGTACAAGACGGATGTGTTCCTGTAAACGGGCGAGCGACAGGGCGGGGCGGTGTGATAGTGATAATTCTTATGTAGAAATCTTCAGAAGCTTAATCGATCTTGACATGTACAGCTTTAATGTGTTGCTTGACCCAGGCTACTTGCACAGAGGCACCGCGAGGCATAGCAAAGGTACGCCTAGAGAAGACTGCTCATCAGGCATCAAGCGGGCAACGCCGCCATACTGCGATGAACCTACTCCTCAGTTGCATCGAAAGCATGTGCCCGATCCCCGACCCCTCTACGCACTCTACAACCCAGCATGAACATCTTCGGGAACCCTTGTACCCGAGGGGACAGATCTGTGGGGTAAGTCGTGCACGCCGACGCCGAGCGCGGTGTCGATCACCGTGTTTCGATCGGCAACCTCCACCTTCTTGGTTGATATCTCGTCACTGGCCGCCGAGGGTGGGAGTGGGGCTCCATACCGGTGATTCCCCGATCCGATCACACTCACTCGGGATATAAAGACGCCCACTCATCTCATTCCTCACGACCATCGACCAACTCTCCGCTCACTTATCTCGGAACTTGCTACAGCTGGTCCTCGCTCGAACTCGCACTCGCATCTCATCGCGTTCTCACTATCTCTCACTCGCCGGCTCTCTCATTAGCTCCAGGTCGCCCCTCTCGCTATCGCCTAACATGTCGTACCGTCCCAACCCCAACTCAAACGACATCCCGCACGCCCGCCCCCTCCTGCACCCCTCCGTGGTACCCTCGCTGGAGAAATGGCACCAGATGGTGGAAACGTCCGACCTCTCCGCCCTTCCCAGCATCGTGCACGCCGACGCCGTTTTCCGCTCCCCAATGGCAATCCACCCGTACGAGTCCCGCGCCGCCGTCGTGCTCGTGCTCTCCACGGTCGTCACAATCTTCAAGGACTTTACATACTACCGCACCCTCGTGTCTCCCGACGGACTCAGCGTCATTCTCGAATTCAGCGCCAATGTGAACGACAAGAAACTCAAGGGCGTCGATCTCATCCGGTTTGGCGAGGATGGACTCATCCGCGAGTTTGAGGTCATGGTCCGCCCGCTTTCGGGTCTGCAGGAGCTCGGAGGCGAGATGGGCAAGAGGCTGAGGGAGAAGCTGCCCAAGTTCAAGGGCAAGCTCTAGGTAAAGCGGCATTTCTGATGGACAACGACCAGGGGGAGGACCGAGGTGGTGTTGGAAGGACTCGAAGGCGACCAAGTCAACGTATGGGAACGGAGGGATTTCGAACTGGATAGGAGCAGCGCGTAATAGACGTACGCAAAGATCAAAGCATCTCCGTGTCGGCCCATCCAAGTTACAACCGATATCACGCCTCTACGCCTCTTGCTGACGTCTGTGACTGACCGCAATACCGTTCAGCTAGCCCTGGTGGGTTATAGTACAGCACCCTGCCATTCGAGGCTATACGCCCTGAGCCGACAATGTTCTAGGGTTCCTGTCCATGGCCCTTGTCATAAGCCGTCACCGTTTCTCATGTCCGGTGTTCTCGGCTGCCGAATGGGCGACTGCGGGTTACGCCCTTTAGGTCCTCCCTCAGATGAGATCTCTGACGATCTCGCAGGGGTCGTGGTCCAGGCCAAGGCCGCCAGCAGAGCGCTTCCTCAACCCTCGACTGAGGCGGAGCCTCGCACTGAGCCCCCCCCCCCGGTTTCTCATCGCGATGGACGTTGCACCGTGCGGAACTCCTGACGGATGTCGTGATCGGCGCATCGCCTCGGAAGGGCGCAAAGGACGGCAACAGTGGAGCTGGACATCTTCGAGAAGAGTTAGACTGCTTCGTGCTTTTGTATCTTGTCCCAGTCCCTGGTCCGGCCCGAATCCAGCCCTTGCCTGTGCCGATGTCCTTTACTGTCAACATGACCGACAGTCCTCCGGCAGTCACCGAGCCAGCTGCGTCTGTCACCCAGCCGTCAACCAACAGCTCGCAAGTGTCCCTCACCAGCACCATCCACGCCGCCATCGGTCTGCCAAACACTCACAACCCCGCGTCTCTAGCCCCATCCTACACTCGTCCTGGCACTCTCGCCTCGATCGCGCTCTCTGCTCCCTCGCACCAGATACCCTCTACTACTACGCCAAACGGAAGCCCGCGAGTGTCGTTTTCGTCCACCCCTGAACACGATCTCCCCAGACAGAGTTCCCCATCCGCCTCAACTAACAACAATCGCCCCGCCGTCCCGAACCCTCTCCCAGACAGAGAGGAAGGATCGGCGACCCCAGTTGCTGAAGTCGCAGAAACTCCCTGGGTCGCTGAAGGTAATCGATCCTCAAAATGGCTCGACATGTTCTTTGGTGATTTGACGGGTTTCCAAGACACATACTAACAGCAGATCTCTCCGTCGCAACGGCGTTGTCTCTCTTTAACGGCGCAAACTTCATGACTAGTCAACGCAAGCTTGTCAACTTCCTAACGTTTGCTCTTTGGAAGTCCTCAGGCAGCTCACCAGCTAGGTACTTCTTGCTCATCACCTCTGCGTGGCTATCACAAGTACATTTCGACGTACTTTTCGCGACAGATGACATGGTTCATCACAGTCTGAAATGTCTTCACGCCTCTATTTTCATTCTCTTAGGAGCCAGCTCCAGGAAGGGGTGGGACATATTCTACCTGTATCTTCGCAAAGACGATGTTCAAAGACAGAGCACGCAGGATGCCATGAGGACAATCGTAATTCTGTACTTCGTACAGCGCATTCTGGTATCCACGTCTTATGGCAAAGGTTCGTTCCACCTCGGATCTCCGCTCACCCACTGCTATCTACGACAGCTCGGGGCGCAGCAAGTGGAATCGTCGTCTCCTCTTTGCATCGTCCTGCCTCCATGTAATTTCAAGCATTGCGGCGTTTTTCCTGCTCATTATGATCTGGGGCTCATTACGGGCCGAGGTGTTTCTCAGCGTGCTGTACGCAGGTGTTGGTCTGGACATCGCAGTCGTGCTTGCCGTGGCTTTTCTCAGCCAGCCCGAGTCCACTTCAAGGCAGGAAACCCTTCTGGTCAAATACGGAAATCTATCAATGTTGATTCTGTATGTTCCTGCTCACCGGGATTGCCTCTTAGTTCGGAGCTGACCTATCAAGGGGAGAAGGAATCATCGTTCTAGCGACCGTTTTCCAAAAGGCCAACATATTCGGGAACAACCTTCTTCCATTACTCAACAGTGTGGTAATCTGTCTCAACATCGTTTTCCTTCTTTTCTCCAACTACAAACATATGGCTCCAGGCACACTAACTGCAGCTCAAGAGCTCATGTGGAAAGTGACTCAAACTGGCCTTCACTTCGCCAAGCTGTGTCTTCTGGAAGGCATTGCAGTAAGGATTTTCCGTGGAATATTCGCGCTGAGGATTAGAACTCCATGACAAAGCAGGCCATTCCAAGTCTATCCGAAAACAGCGCTTCCCAGATTGAGCAGCTAGTTCAGGAGTACGAAGGACCTACGACCGAGTGTAAGATCGCATCGTTCGAAGATCTGGGACTACAACCTCCTTTAGACATCTTCTGCCAAAGCCTCGGCTCACTATGGAATGACATAGGTGGCAGTTGGCCGGGAAATGTGAGCGACAGCTCTCGCCCATGGCTGCGAGGAAAGGTTTGCCAGTATACAGCCAACGCCGCCTACTCGATTTCGCAGGTGAGTGAACACTCGGTACCTCACAGTTAACTTGTGTGCAAGAGATACAACATCCCCTTGGACAACAGTGAAAGCCTCTACTACCGAACTCAACATTTGAACATTACGCTTTCGCTATCAGCGGATGACGCTGACGTCCTCTGCGGTGTGAAAGAACAGGTACTCAGCGACATGACCAACTATATCCAGCGCGGAAGCGTTTGGATCCTTTGGTCAGCGGTGAGTGCGGCAGAAATGGTGAGGCACTGACCATAGGGGTTGGTGCTGTTATTATGTGGTGGCTGTTCCTATCTGCGCAAGATGTGCACAGGCGTTGGTCCGCGAACCGTTCGTACCGTTTTGGCGTATGGTCCACTGGCCGCCACTTCAATTGGTCTGTTCATCGCCGGTGTGGTTCCCGGAACCGTCCGGAAGCTGATGAGTACCTCTGGTGGCCCAGGTCTCCCAGCAGGTATTGTTACAATCGTCTATAGTGTTTTGAACCTGTACCTGTGGGTGAGTAACTGTTGTCTGATCCTGTGCTGAAGATACAGCTCTTAGGTTGCCTGTTTGTTCGGCGCCGCCAACATTAGCACCAGCGCCCACCAGATCTGAGCGACGCCACCGTTTCCATCAAACCCGGCCTCGTTATTCTTGTTATCAGAACTTTGAGCCACAGCCTGTCGGAGTTTTTTTTTGGGGGGGGGGGGAAATCGCAGTCGTTGATCGCTCGGCCATGACCACATGCCCCTTGCCCACTTCTTGTGAGCATGACCGATATGTTGAGGAGTACTGCAAATGAACTGTGTCAATGAAGTTCCGCCCGTAATGCCATATTCTTAACTTCGAGTCAAGACGATTCTTATGGAATGGAAACTCCATTGATGCTGTGAGGGAGGCATGAGGTGACTGGGCTTGTTCATCGAAGCCCCCAGGCACCCTCGGGATCTCGGGCCGAGGAGTAGTGGCCCGGTAGTTGCCGGGTTTGGAACAGCTGCACTTCGCCCACCAACTTTCCCACTCCGTTCACTACCAAACCATGACCGTCTCCGATCCAGCAAGCAAGAGTCCCCGTCTAGTCTACTCGCAGTCGCCGCACGGTGGACCCTCATCTGCGTCGCCGAGACCTCCGCGCCCAAGACGAGCAGCCCGCGGTGAGCCGTCACGTGATCTTCGCACTGACGACAGCTTGTGATCGTTGTCGCGCCAGCAAGCTCCGTTGTCAACCTCCTCCGCACGAAGCCGAGACGAGATGTCGCAACTGTGCCCGCAACGATGTTCAGTGTCAATACTCGAACCCGCCCCCGCCACAAGCCCAGGTCGAGCAGCGACAAGACAGCGATGAACGGCTTTTGCGGCTTGAGGCGAACGTCGACAAGCTCCTGCAGATGATGGAGAGTCGGTCATCGCAGCCGGGGGTCGCACAACCGTATCTGCCAAGCCTCCCGCCTCAATCGCAGCTTGAGTCACAGCATACCTTGGGTGGTCCCGAAGCTTTGAGCTTGTTCGCTGATGTCGCCGCTTCGGCGGACGCGGTGGAATGGCTCCCGGTTGACCCGGCACCAGCCCTCTCTCCGCAAATGCAGTCCTCGCAGACATCGGTATCCCCAAACACGACCTGCTCCGAGTCTAGAAGGCAGCGTGGACTCGACGCGGTGGACGTCGCTCAAGCTCGACCTATTCCGAAGGTGGTGTCAGGCCGGCGTATGGCAGCGTTCACAGACCCAGAGGCGTACGAAGCGCCCTTCCGGCCACTGGCCTATCACCCCGAAGTCTTCCGGAATGAGGAAATCTTGTCGACACACTCGGAAGCTGACGAGGACGCCCATGCTCCACGCCGCCGCGGAGACCCCATCGATGAGGAAGTCCTTACGGAGCAGCAAGCGAGAGGGTTGTTTGACTTGTATGTGCGCACGACATTCCCCGCTGACACCAGCTTCGCCCACGAGATTGCCTTCTTCATCCCGCTATTTCAAGAGCCGCTCCATCTGTCCTTCGATTCAATCCGGAATCGCTCATCCTTCTTGTTCAGCACCATCCTAGCGATTGCAGCCAAGTACAACTCCCAGCTCACGTCCGGACAGTTGGGAGGTACTGCCCAGACTATCGACCCCGAGATCTGGCTCCAGGTCCGCGGTATGGCGATGGCGGGGTATGTCCAGGCTATCATCTCGAAAGTCCACTGCCTGGAGGATGTTCAGGCCACGGTGCTCTTGTGTGCCTGGGGTCTCCAGGATCGAGGGGCATCACCAGACCCGTGGATGATGACGGGCTCCGCGCTGCGGCTGGCTCAGCGTCTCGGCATTCAAAACGCAAGCGTCGCACTGGCTGAAAGGATGACAGAGCCCACACCACGCTTGCTCTCCAGCTGGAAGACTTATCTGTGTCTCTATGCTTTTGACCGGTTGTGAGTCAGGCAAGGTGTGCTCAAGCTGACCCCAGCTTTACTGCTGGCTTCGGTCGCCCTGAAACACAGGGCTTTGACGAAGCGGCCCTCGACACCACCATCTTGCTGGAGCAGGATGACCCAACTGCCGCTACAGTGGCCGCTTACGTCGACCTCGCTGCCATCGCCACCCGATACAGCCGCTTTGTAAATATCCGTCTGAAGTGTGACCCTGGCTCGTGCTGGGAAGAGCTCGAGGCCATCGGTGGCACGCTGGACGCATTCTCGAGCAGGTGGCTGTGGGCCCGTGAGTGTCTGTGGTTTCACACTTCTGACATACAGGTTCACCGATGGTTGGCAAGCTTGGACGGTCCGCCCTTCCCATCCGGATGATTTACAATCACCTGCGGTTATGCCTCTTCTCGATCCCGCTCAAGCCCTTGTCGCACCCCGACAGTCCTTCATTCTTACGCCGAACGCAATCGGATACGCCACAGAGAACACAGCGCTTGGCTCAATGTCTGAAGAAGGTGCGTTTGCATTGGCTCTGCCGCTGACATCTGACATCAGGTCGAGACGTGCGCGAGTGCAGTAGTGCAGGACTTTTCCGATGACTGCCGCGAGGACGCCGACACGACGATCTGGCACGCATACGACTTTGCGTTCATGGTCCTGTCACACTCTGCGGCGGTATTGCTTAGCCTGGCTACGACACGGATATGCGGCTCAGCGGACGAGTCACGGCCAGGCGTCAACCCGTCCACCGCACTGCGCTACTACGGAATGGCGATTTCCACCATGATCGAGTCGAACCGCTCAGCAAACCGCTTCCCGTGCGATATGGCTCGCAATCTCTACATGATCGTGAAGGAGACGAGCCTTGATATCACCGAGTGGATCTCGCCCACCGTCCTGGACCAGCTGAACCAAGACCACGAGGCGGCGACCACCGCCCAGGGCCCCGAGGCACTGACAGACTTCCTAGACATCGAGCAGTTCCTGCAACCGGGCTTCTTCGACGACATCAGTACTTGGCAACTGTGATGCATCATCAACTTCTCTACTTCATAGGGCTAGTCTGCTCGGCCGCGCATCCGCGCCACGGGTCATTCAGCATCGCCTGACCCTTGTCGCTCTTCCAGAAGGATCCCTCGGGACACTCAAACTTGGCGAACGCCTCATCAGTCAGCTGAGTCGAGTATCCCGGTTCCCTGGGGGCGTGGAAGTGTCCATTCGAGAACTCGGCAGGATGCGTGAAGTACTCGTGACAGTGGTCCGTGTACTCGAGAATGCTCTGCTTGCCCGAGATGGCGACGTAGTCGAAGTGGGCGATGTGGTTGCACAGCTCGGGCATGCCAGTTCCGCCAGCGTGGCAGACGACAGGCACACCGAACTTGGCCGCGAGCAGGCAGACAGCCAGGATCTCGTTGACGCCCGACAGGCGCAGGGCGTCCAGCTGCACGGCATCAAGTGCGTCGGCCTGCAGAAGCTGCTTGAACATGACACGGTTGTTGACATGCTCGCCTGTAGCGACGCCGATGCCGTGCGGCTTCAGGGCTGCACGAATCTTCGCATGGCCGAGAATGTCGTCCGGCGACGTCGGCTCCTCGATGAACCACGGGCGCAGGTCCGCCAGCTGAGGCATGTACTCGATCGCGTAGTCGATGTCCCACAACTGGTTCACATCGGTCATGATAACAGCGTCGTCGCCGGCGACCTTCCGCACCATGCCGAGACGCTTGCGATCGGTCTCGAGACCCTGTCCAACCTTGAGCTTGAAATGCTTGAATCCCGCGTCGACGGCACGCTTGATGCCCGCCTCGACCTCCTCATCGCTGAGACCCAGCCACCCGACACTCGTGTTGTAACCCGGCACAGCGCGGTCTTCGAGAGCAGCAGCTAGACGTTGGCTCTTCGTCTTCTCCTTCTCCTTCAGCATAGCCAGGGCCTGCTCGGGCGTGATCTCATCGGTGATGTATCGGAAATCAATGACGCCGACGAGCTGTTCGGGCGTCATGTCAGCCACGAGACGCCAGAGCGGCTTGCCCTCAACCTTAGCCCAGAGGTCCCAGAGAGCGTTCAGAATCGCGTTCGAGGCGAGCTGCATAACGCCGCGCTCGGGGGACATGAAGCGCGTCTGCCCACCGAGGAAGTTGCGGTGCGTCGCGGCAAAGTCGCCAACGATGGTCGAGAGTCGCCGCCCGACAAATCGGGGCGCGAGGCACCGGATGCCGGAGCAGAGCACCCTGTCCGTTAGTTGCCGAACGGGCCGCGGCGGGCCGAAAGAAGGACTCACTCGTTGCCCTGCCCGTTGCTGAAGGACCAGCCGATGCCCTCGAGTCCGGGAACGTCCGTGTGGTACACGATGTAGCCGTGGGCATTCTCGCCAGCGGTGCTGCGGTTAGACAAACTTCAGGTGGAAGTGCTCACTTCATAGGATCACTGCCGATCGCGTCGAGAGAGGTCGGGAAGCGCAGGTCACGCACGGTGTAGCCCGTAATGGTTGGGTCGGTGGGAAGCTGAGGTCAGCGTGGCATGATGTGATTGCTCACTGGGGAGATAGTCATGGTGGTATGGTGCTGTGTGGTAGTCAGACAACCGTCGCGTTGCCCACACTTATGAGCAAACACAGGGCGCCGGATAAGCCGACGATGCCGAGATACAGGCAGCGGTGGCGACATTCGGCAACTTCGGCCCGCGCCAAGCCGCCGTCAATGTGGGCACGCCTGCCCCGTCCAGTCAACATCTCGATACGGATTCCGTAGGTGAGAAGCAGGCGGTCCGTACCGTAGCCAAGACGGCACCGCGGTCTTACGACCCCGTCATCTACCGTCACCTGCCGATTTAATCATAACAGGCCAATCGATGGTCTCATGCACCCCACTCGCTGTCTATTCTAAGAGGGCTCGGAGTGGGGAAGTTAGCCATTGAACACAATCTCTGCATACGGTTTGCGAGCTACGCCTTCATAGCCTTCGCCTCCGCCCATCCTGCCTTCCGCTCGGCCAAGCTCTTCGTCATGTCTACGGCAGTGCTAACTTCAGACGTGGGAGTCATGTCCAGGGTCTTGAGAGAGCGTGAACAGTCGAACCAGTTGATTGTCGGAACAGGGGCTCCAGGTTGTCCTTTGACCGTCTTCGGGAACTCAGCGATAAGCTCAGGATGTTCGTGTACTGCATCAAGAAGCACTTGGACGTTGAAGGTTCCTGATATCAGCGAGGGTTGCAGTAGTGGACTTACGGGTAGCGATGCCGAATCTCTGGCCGCCAGCCTCGGGCAACATCATCGCCTTCACATGCACTCGAGCGACGTCGCGGACGTCACAGAGGATCCCGGCCGGTGCGATTGCATCCTCAGCCGTCTTCTCGCCGGTGAGATAGGAGTACCAGTTCGCGACGGCTGTAGTTAGCGCTACCTCCCGGGAAGTACTCACAAGTGTTCAGGCTCTCTGGAGTCGCCGCCTCGTGAATGATAGGGCCGAGGACGTACGGCGGGCAGACAGTGACGAGGTCCCAGCTGGGCTTGTTCTCTTCAACGTACTTCCACGCAGCACGCTCGGCCAACGTCTTACTGGCACGGTACCAGTGCATGCGCCATGCTTCAGTGCCCTCCTTCTCGACGGCGTCAATGGACTGCTGGTTCCAGTCGTCCTCCGTGAACGTCGCAGTTCCAGGGTCTCGGTTCTCCAGGATGGAGGCGTACGAGCTCGTGATGACCAGACGCTGAACGCGGGGCTCCTTCGACGCTGCACGGAGCACGGACTCAGTCCCCGCAACGGCGGGCTTGATGAAGTCGTCAGGCTTGGTGACATTCCAGTGGAACGGCGATGCAGTGTGCATGATCGCATCGACGTCCTTGACGGCCTCATCGAAAGCATTGGCGTTCTCAAGGTCGGACACAATCACGTATTCGAAGTCCTTCAGGCCGCGAGACGCATACATGTCCTGCATCCACTGGCCCTTGGCCGCATTGCGCGTCGTGCCGCGCACACGGTAGCCAGCTTCAAGGAGGTAGAGCGTGATCCAACTGGCGATGTAGCCACTGGCGCCGGTAACGAGGACTGGGGTCAGCTGGTCCAGTGAGTGGGCACGGACTGAGGGATCCCTTGGGAGGCACGGTCATGCTGGTGATTGTGTTGTGGAGTGACCTGAGTGAATAGGAAGGTCTCAAGTTGACGATATTAACGACTCGGAATGGCGGGATATCCGAGCCGGATAGGGTGGGCACGGGATCTCACGGCCCGACGATGCCGACATCGCGAGGGACCTTATAACCGAGCGTTCGCCGCTGAGGGCCCCCAGACAGCAATCAACATGGCCCCGCAAGAGACAACCTTTGCGCACATCGATAACAACACGCACCCATGCTGGTGGAAGGACCCGTGCTTGCGGCGCAACGTCGTCCACCTCCTCGGTATCAGCCTCTGCGTTTACTATCTCGGATGTGAGTTGCCACCTTTGATCACCGGCGTCCATTTTGATCGTCCAGGTCGTCCATCTCTTCCCTCCCATTTCTCTTGTCCTGCTGACTTCTCCAGATGACCAGAACCTCCTTAATGGCCTGCAGCCCATCAGACGGTGGCAAGAATATTTCAATCATCCCTCCAGTTCGCAGCTCGGATTGGCAACGGCCAGTATCTTCTTCCCCGCGATTGTGACCGCTTTCGTAGGTGACTGGATATCTTTGAAGTTCGGGCGACGATGGGGCATTGGCCTTGGAGCTAGCTTGATTGTGAGTAATTAGAGAAGGTTGCCGGTGCACATTAGGGCCTGAGCAGAGGTTGTGTTGGAGGAGGGCGACGGGTAGAGGGTTGTTGCATGAGCCAACTTTCGTTGGAAGACGTCTGAAGTGGAGGATCGGCTCTGGGCGGCATGTCGCGGATGGTGGAGGCTGACGTAAAGATCGTCGGCGCCTTCGTCAACGCCTTCGCCAAGGACTTCCCAAGTGAGCACTCCTCATCATGCATGTCTAACGGCAGTGTTCATCGGCTCGCGATGGATTATCGGTGCCGGAGGAGGCATCACGAAGGTGTGCGCCCCTGCTCTCCTCCACGAGATCAGCCACCCCCGCCTCCGTGCCCAGGCCGGTGCGACATACTATGCCTTTGCCTACGTTGGTGGAGTGTTCGCGGCCTGGATCTGCTTTGGCGGCCTGTACATCCAGAGCAGTTGGTCATGGCGCTTCCCTACTCTCTTCCAGCTCGCGGGCCCAGTCGTCGTCATTGCGATGCTGTTCGACATGCCCGAGAGCCCTCGCTGGCTCATAAAGCAGGGCCGCGTGGACGATGCGCACCGCGTGCTGGCCAAGCACCACGCCAACGGCGACATGGACGACCCCCTCGTCCTGCACGAGATGCAGGAGATCCGCGCCGCCCTCGAGGCCGAGAAGGAGCAGCAGCAGACGTCGTACCTCGACTTCTTCAAGACGCCGGCCAACCGCCGCCGCCTCTTCGTCATCCTCGTCATCTCGGTCGGCACCAACTGGGTCGGCAACGGTGTCGTGTCGTACTACCTCTCGCCCATTCTCAAGCTTGTCGGCATCACCAAGCCCGTTGAGGTTAGCGCTATCAACGGCTGCCTCGCGCTTTGGAACTGTGAGTGAGGTATGGAGGCAGGGGCTGACGTTAGTGTTCATTTCGACGACTTTTGCGCAGTTTGTCGACCGTATCGGCCGCCGACCGCTGTGGCTGACCTCCACCGGAGGTATGCTGCTCACGTACTGCGTCATCACCGCGCTCTCCGCCACCTTCGCGAACACGCAGAAGGGTCCGATCGGTGTCGCAGTGATTCCCTTCCTCTTCGTATGTCACTTCACACTTCTATCACTGACAGCAGATCTTCTTCGCATTCTACTGCATCGCCTGGACAATCCAGTGCTACAGCTACACGACCGAGATCCTGCCCTACTCGCTCCGCACCCGCGGCCTGGGCATCTTCGTCGCGGTGCAGAACGCTGCTCTCGCGTTCAATACGTACGTGAACCCTATTGCGCTCTCGGCCATCGGGTGGAAGTACTACACCGTCTTCATCGCCACGACGGCCGTCATCTTTGTCATCATTTGGTTCTTCTTCCCTGAGATCAAGGGTCTCACACTCGACGAGATCTCGCACGTGTTCGACAAGGGCCGCGGCGCCGTCGAGGAGCTCAATGCCTATGCTGGCTCCGTGCACGAGGACAATGGCAAGGAGGACGAGGCGTACGACCGCAAGTAGGCTATTGTTGGTTTCACGTTTCAAGTTAGTCTTGGGAAAGCGATAAGAAACAGATCTGTTAGGGGTGTATAATAGCGGCTCAATGGGAAAGTTGTGAAATGCGATTAAAGTGCCACTGATTCCGCACTTTCCGCACAATGCGACATACTGCGTGTCTTGTCGGGTGCATGCCGATCCCGACGGCGTCGGGGACCGATCCGCCTTTGCATCCTGCACAGCATGCCGCCGCCTCGGTGACATGTGCTCATTCCATGCCGAGAACCCAACTCAGCCACACCACTATCCGACACTAGCGGGTGTACGACGTCCAAATGACTGATAAACTGCATAGTTGTTTCCCTGAATTGTTTAGTCTACATTGTCGTTGCGTGCGTCCCGCGCGATCCTACACCTGGACCTGGTCGAGGAGGATCGAGTCGAGCTGCTGCACCGCAGGCCCGAGGTTCCAGAACGCTCCCGTTGGCGCGGTCTCGAGGCTGGGCAGGGCCTCCTGGGCACTCCTCATGCCCATGTCGGCGGCAAAGTGCACAATGCCGTAGGCCGCGAAACGCTTCATGTGGAGCTCCTCGTGTGGCCACTCACCGCCCTTGGCTGCTGGGATAATGTACTCGACCGCCTTGGGGATGGACTCGCCGTTCGGGCCAGTGTAGCCCCAGAGGTCGACGCCGACGCGCTGTCCAATCGCGACCATACGCAGCCAAGCGACAAGAGTGAACGTAGAGTAGTGATAGGAGGTGGGGCGAACGATCTCCTGGGGTTGGGAGCCGTCTGCGGCGATGCGCTGCGGAATAAGGTCGCGCTGAGCCTCGAGCTGAGAACGAGCCGTGCCGATGTCGCCGAGCCAGGCCGCAATCGCCGCAATCTGCATAGCAGCGAACGTTCCATGGTTGTTCTTCGCTGCAAGCTCCTCCTTGCCGAAGTTAGAGTTCTTGAGCCAATCGAGGTACTGTCGGTTCCAATTTTTGAACGCCTCGCTGTCGGCATCGCTCCAGGCGTCATCGTGGGTGATATCCAGCAGCGCTACAGCGTCAATAACGTCTGTATACTGCTGTGCGAAGTCAATTATCCCAATGCTACGACCAGTGTTCTTGCATTTCACAATTTGCGAATGAAGAAGATGAGGAGTCATCTTGGTTTTCTCGTCGATGAACCAGGTGCGGAGGACCTCGCCACACTTCTTCCGGTACTCGGGCTTGTCCGTGTGCCACCACGCGAGGGAGAGGAAGTACACGCTGTTCATCATCTCAAAGCCGTCGCGGCGGTCGGTATAGTTGTCGACTTCGGGGTTGCGAATGCCATCGCGCTGGACGTAAGGACACGTCTCGGTCTTGGAGGGGTCGTTCCAGTTGGCGGGCCACCAGTATGGTGCCTGCGAGGCGTAGTCGTTGCTTACGTCAGCGAGCCCTCCACAGAGAGTGCTTACCGAGTGCCATCGGGGACGTCCATCGTCTTGGAAGTGACCGTCCAGGGGCCCTTGGAAAGGTACGGGTCGGCGTGGGAGAGGAGCTCGTGCAGCTCGCCGTCGTGGCGGCCCTTGGACACCTCGCGCGCCGTCTTGACCATGCGCTTCGGCTCAAAGACGGAAGTGCCGGGGCGGGGGCGCTGCAGGGGTCGGCCGGCGTGGGGCGGCGGCGCGGCCTCGGCCGAGTACAGCAGGCCGAGTGTCGAGAGGAGAAGGAGTGGTAAGCGCATGCTGGGATGGGTCGAGCGGGAAAAGTTGAACGTTGCTGGATCGCCTGGGTCGTTTTATAGACGGGCAAGCGAAGCGAGCACGGACAAAGAAGAGGAGCAAAGATGCGAGAAAGAGCGCATTGTGCTCTAATGGTGGTGCAGCGGCGTGCACCGGGCCGCGGTGTCCATTCCGTCCAGACACGGTCGGGCAATCCTCGTGATCCGCGCTAGTGGCCTCGCCCTCTCTCTCGCCCCCGATCACGCACTAAGAGTCCAGCCTCGGACGCGGTCTCGGAGCGATGTGACGAGGGAGTAACTCCCCTTCAGTCTGTGCGTCAGCTGACGCATGGCGGGCATTCATCCCTTTGTACTGCTTACCTTACGGCTGGGTGTTTCGCAGTGCAGCAGCGCGATGCAAGCACCGGCGCAACGGCGGTGCGGCGGAGCGGCCGGGCCTGTCCGGGCCGGCCATCACGAAACGCAGGAAATAGCGCAGACGTGTGTGATTCAAGCCACCGGGTTTTCTTTCATTAATCTTCGGACCCTGGGACAGGAAATTAGCTGGAAGTACTCAGATCGAGATTGCTCGTCCTGCGCGCGATGCGAGGTGGTCGACTGAGTGACGAGCAGGGACTGCATGGTGAATACTCGCTTCCAGCCGTCGCAACTCCCAGATTCACGCGCACAAGAGTGTAGAATGAGAGGAGCCGGGGAGCGAGGGATGCGGAAAACGCAAGAGAGATTCGGACGAGGCCCTGGATGCGAGGCCCCAGAGATTGGAACCAGGCACGGGACCACTGGAATGGGTCAAAACCCTATCTTCTCCTGGCGTCACTGCATGTTGCATTAAAGGTTAGCTCTCCGCACTGCTTGCGGCCTCGCTCTGGACGCCGAAGCCCGTCGCCGCTCGCCGTGACTGACGAAAGAACGTTCGGAACACAGTCACGGGGGTACGCAGCTTTTCCGTCAGCGGCCGCATCGAAACAGTCAAGACGTGACCACAGGCACGCTCGCGTCCTTGCTCGCTTGGCTGTCTCTTCCCCCGCCCCAAGCGCCGACGACCAGCCCTCTCGCGCTCTTCCCAGCACCCAGCTTCATCTCTCCTCTCACCCGCTTCCATCCCGACACCGGTGGAGAAGCGAATTCGCAACCTCATTTCGGAGCAGAGGATGAATGCGAACTGTAAACCTTGTCCGAATAGTCGTGGCCATTCGGACCTGGCGGGCGAAGCGCAGTGGGGCCGAACTCTCGTTGAATTCGGGCACTGCTTGAGCTGCTCAAGCATAGAGCCAGGGCGAGCCAAGGCGATGTTCGCGAAGTGCGCACGCCGGAGTACAGTCACCGTTGGCCGTGGTCCGGTTCCGGTCAGCTGTGCAACGGGCGAACTTCCATTCACTTAGGTGGCGAAGTCCCAGAGCCGTGGATACTCTGCGAAGGGAAGCAAGTGGGGGTTTTGTCCTCATGTCACATTGAGCATGTTAGCAGCGGCCCGGCTGTTCCGGCAGGGCACACGACGAGGTCATGCGACCTCCCCGTCGACGTTGACCCCTGCATTGCCAGTATTGCCCCTCCGTGTGTCGGAAAATGCCGAGACTGCTGTCCGCTGGATGGACATCGGCGTCTTGGCGACGAGGAGAGCGGATATGCGGCCCGGTGCCCGCCGCACCCGTAGCGTGCGCTATCAGCGGCCCGGCGGATCCGACCCACTCATATATTGTGATACTTGGGAGAGTCACGCGACTTGCGGTCTCGGAGCTTGCCCAACGATTAGATGTAGGTGCGGCCTCGCGGTTGCGGGATGCAGGACGCAGGGACGGGCAGAGAGGCAAGCGGGCAAGCGATGATAAGCCGAGGTTGAACCGGGGGCTGTTCACGCGGTGGAGGTGGAGGGGCGATGGCAGTAAAGGCTGTGTACGAGAGATCTCAATGCTGGATCTTGTCACCACTCCGCCGTCGTATAGTGAACGCCAAAGCCGTAGTTGGATGCAGGACAGCGAAGCCCAATGGATCCGGCGACAAGGGGACCGATGTTGGAGCTTCTGCGAGATTAGGCTCAGACATCGTCAGCTGGTTGCGTAAGCTCTTTTCGTCCGACGTCTAGTGAGCTACGAGAAAATCCAGGACGATGGTTTAGCGACCGCTTGCGACGGGTGCCTCGCCCCGAAGATGCCGTCCCGTGGTGAAGAACGAGTAGCGGTATTAATCTTCTGCAGTCAATAGACCTTTGTGTAGCTGGGAGTGGGGGCGGACGGGTGTGAAGCAGATAGCGAGAGCCTGCAATAGGTGCCCCGGTTAGAGAGGAGGCTGCCAGCATTTCCCTCTTTGAAAGTCTCCATGAAGGGGTCAGACGCAACATGTTGACTGGTAAGTCGAGGTGAACGGAACTCAGAATGCTTGGGATAATCGTCATCTCGCAGAATCGCTTCTGGGGGGAGGTTGATGAGGTGTCGTGGAGGGGTGGGACTCGAATGGTGTGAAGAGTGGTGAAATGTGAGCGTCGCATTGTCTGTCAACGATCAACGAGCGGCAACCATGCCTTGGCCCGCTGACGGCAAGTTTCAGCATAGCGTGGCTGCAAGAACCCCCGATCCAGACCCTCAAGCAAGCATGATAAGCATGCCCCTTATGCCTGTTTCCCCCATGCATACGCCTCGTACGCATGTTTGATGCGCACTGATCGCTGTCCACGAGCCACTTCACCCACCAAAACCCTCAAAGCCTGGGCTTTGGGGTGTGTGCGGCGTTGACGACGGTGCATTCTGACTCTTAGTGGCTCAGCGATCAGCAAATTCCAACACTCCTTACAAGGCCAAGGGCAGGCGCTCTGCCTACGTCTGCACGTCTGCATTGTGACATGGCGGCCCCCGGTGCAACGCTTTGATCCCCAGAATGTGCACCTGACATCTGCGGCCACCTTACTCCTCAGGTGCGCACAGCCGCCCACGCGCCCGCGCCCGCGCCCGCGCGCCCCTTCCTCACCGCGCACATCTTGTACATCTTGTACACTATACACCGCAGTCTCGCCAGCGTACAGCTAAACAAGCACACAAATACACGATCTGCGCGCTGCGCACCGCCCTCCCTCCCTTGCCCTCACGCCCCCAGCATGCCCAGCACAGAGACATAAGTACGCCTCCTCCCCTCCTCCCCTCCT